CAAGCCCCGTGTCGGGCTCTGTGCTGACAGCTCGGAGCCTGGAGTCTCCTTCTGATTCTGTGTCTCCTTCTCTCTCTGCACCTCCCCTGCTCACACTCTGTCTCTCTGTCTCTCAAAAATAAATAAACGTTAAAAAAATTTTTAAAAAGTGACATTTTGTGACCAGCAAAATTCTATTTAATTCAAATGTATCAGAACACAGCCACACCCATTCATTTGCATACTGTCCCCTGGCTGCTTTTGCCATTGAGAACCCAGGGAACTGAGAATGTTTATTGTCTGGTCCCTCCTAGAAGAAGTTTATTGATTCTTGTTCGACCCTTTGGTCATTTGTGGCAATGAATTTCTTCCCACAGTATGTACTTTTCTGTCATTTAAATTTGTCTTTGATTTTTTTTTTTTTAATCTGATAGAAATCTTCATGTCGGATTAAACCCATCATATTTTTCTTTTCTTTTGTTAATTTTTAAAAATGTTTTAATGTTTCTTTTGTTTTTGAGAGGGAGAGAGAGAGACAGAGCATGAGCAGGAGAGGGGCAGACACAGAATCCGAAGCAGCCTCCAGGCTCCGAGCTGTCAGCACAGAGCCCGACGCGGGGCTCGAACTCACGAATCGTGAGATTGTGACCTGAGCCAAAGTCAGACGCTTAACCGACTGAGCCACCTTAACCGACTGAGCCACCCAGGCGCTCCTTCTTTTATTAATTTTTAATATTTTTCATGTTCTGTTGAGATATGATTGGCATGGAGCATTGTCTCCAAGTATGCAAAGAACAATTTGATATTTGTGCATATTGCAAAATGGTGTCTAGTTAACATCTGTCAGCTCAGAGTTAAAGACTTTTTCTTGTGATGAGAACTTTCAAGATCTACTCTCTTACCAACTTTCAAACGTACAATAAGGTATTCTTAGCTACAGTCCCCGTGTTGGACATGACATCCCCAGGGTTTATCTGTCTCATAACTGGAAATTTGTATGCACTTCCTCACCCCTGCCCCTTCCTCACCCCTGCCCCTGGAAACCACCAGTCTGTTCTCCGCATCTAGTTGTTGTTTTTTCCTGATTCTGTATGTAAATGAGATCATTTTGTATTTTTCACATGTAGTTTGTGCTTTGAGGAGTTTTTAAAGGAATCTTTCTCCTTTTAAAAAAAAATTTTTTTTAATGTTTTATTTATTTCTGAGAGAGAGAGAGAGAGAGAAGTCGGATGCTTAACCGACTGAGCCCCCCAGGTGCCCCTGGGCCAGTTTTATTACTGTTATTGCTGTTTTAGCATCGCAGTGTCTGACTTTGAACTCCTCAAGCGAGAAGGAGCCCAGCAAACTTTTGAAGCAGGGCCTGCTTTTCCCTTGGGGCAAAATGGGCTATGATGCCACTCTGTTTCTGTTTTCCTTACCTCCCCCCCCCCCCCCGCTTTAAAAGAAAAATTGTGGTTAAATGCATTTAACATGAAACTTACTGTCTTACCCATATTTGAGCGTCCAGTACAGTGGCATTAGGTACATTCCCACCTTCACGCAGCACCCCCCAATCCGTCTCCAGAATTTTTCCATCTGAGACTCTGTCCCCCTGAACCACTAACTCCCCCCAGCTTCTGCCCCCCCCCCCCATCTACTTCCTGTCTCTGCGAACGTGACTCCTCTAAGGACCTCACATAAGTGGAATCATACAGTATTTGCGCTCTGGTGGCTGGTTCATTTCACTGAGTAGAATGTTGTTTCACCTGGTCTTTGACCCCTCCCAGGTATTTAAATGAGGAGCTTGGGGCTGACCTTGACCTTGTGAACTGGCCCCTCCTCACAGACCTGTTCAGATTGGTCCTGAGGCATTCAGATTGGCCCAGCTGTGTGCTTAGTGGTTTTGTTTGTGTGTTAGGTGTGAATTTGGTGACAGAGTTTAAAAAAAGAAATCAGGAGATTCACATGAAAACCCAGGAGTGGTCTTTGGTTCCCGCAGGCGTTCAGGCCCCCAGCCACACCCTGGACTTGGTGGTGCGGTCAGACACATTTGTGGCTGAGTGTGTCATCGGGTCTTCGTGTTGCTTGTGGGGACTATTTACTCTCTGTTCTGAACTCCAGCGGAGCACCAGCGCCGGGGACTTGAGGAAGTAGTTACTGTCCAAAAAGTTTTAGCTGTGGAAGGGAAAGAAGGAATCAGAGCCCATGGCCAGTGGTAGAAAGAAGTCCCGGGGGAAGTGGTGACACGAAAGCCACAACTGGCCTGGGGGGACCTGAGCTGGTTGCGAGATGGGGATGCTTGCGGTGGCACTTTTTAAAAAAATTTAATGTAATTTAATTTTTTTAAATTATTTTTTCTATTTGATGGAGAGAGAGAGAGCTCACGCACATGCTGGGGAGGAGACAGAGGGAGAGAGACAAAAGACAGAAAAGGAGAAGGGGGGGCGCCGGGGTGGCTTAGTTGGTTAAGCGTCCGACTTTCGCTTAGGTCATGATCTCGCAGTTCGTGGGTTCGGGCCCCGCGTCGGGCTCTGTGCTGACTGCCAGCTCAGAGCCTGGAGCCTGTTTCAGTCTGTGACTCCCTCTCTCTCTGACCCTCCCCTGCTCACGCTGTCTCTCTCTCTCTCCTAGAAATAAATAAAACATTAAAAAAAAATTTAAAAAAAAAAAGGAGAAGGGGAGGAAGGGAAGGGGGGAGGGAGAGAGAGAGCGAGCGAGCATGAGCGAACCCCAAGCAGGCCTCATGCTCAGCGAGGAGCTCAATTCAGGGCTTGATCCCACGACCTTTGGATCATGACCTAAGTAGAAATCAGGAGTCGGGCACTCAACTGAGCCACCTACACACGCCAAAGGTGGCACATTTATTCCTACTTGGCTCTAGGCTGGTGATCTAGGCCTGGACTTCTCTGCCACCCCCACTCCCAGATGGGCAGTGGGCACCCTTGGGACTGACGGCCCACAGAGCCACCTTTGTCCTCTGGCCAACCTGGGTGGTTTTTTAAAATTGTGATAACATAGGGGCACCTCGGTGGCTCAGTCGGTTAAGCTTTGGACTTCAGCTCAGGTCGTGATCTCACAGTTCATGGGTTCAAGCTCTGCATGGGGCTCTGTGCTGACAGCTTAGAGCCTGGAGCCTGCTTCCAATTCTGTGTTTCCCAATCTCTGCCCCTCCTCTGCTCATGCTCTCTCTCGCTCTCAAAAATAAACATAAAAAAATTTAAATTGTTAAAACATGTGCGTAATATAAAACTTACCGTCTTACCCATTTTAAAGTGTCCCGTTCCAGGGCACCTGGGTGGCTCAGTCAGTTAAGGGTCAGACTCTTGATTTTGGTTCAGGTCACGATCTCATGGTCATAAGATTGGCTGCTTGGGATTCTTTCTCTGCCCCTCCCGTGCTCGCTCGTGCTCTCCCTGTCTCCCTCCCTCTCAAAATAAATAAATACACATTTAAATAAATAAATAAATACACTGTCAGCAGCACTGAGCACACTCACATTGGTGTATAACCATGCCTACCACTCATTTCCAGAATATTTTCATCTTCCCAAATTGAAAATCTGCCTGGGGGTACCTGTGTGGCTTAGTCGGTTAAGCGTCTGACTTTTGCTTAGGTCATGATCTCTCGGTTCGTGGGTTCGAGCCCCGCGTCGGGCTCTGTGCTGACTGCCAGCTCAGGGCCTGGAGCCTGTTTCAGAGTCTGTGTCTCCCTCTCTCTCTGACCCTTCCCTGCTCACGCTGTCTCTCTCTTGCGCCTAGAAATAAATAAAACATTAAAAAAAATTAAAAAAAAAAATCTGCCTGGATGGGGTTTTAATTTTTATTTTCTAATAATCCTTATTGTTTCTTTTTCCTGACCGTTAAAGTGTTTGTTCCCTGCTTAAAGTTCAGAAGAAGGGAGCTGTGATATCCATAGACACAACCTTGCTTTTGTTAAAATAGTAATAAATTGGGGCGCCTGGGTGGCTCAGTCGGTTGAGCGTCTGACTTCTACTCAGGTCATGATCTCACAGTTTGTGGGTTCAATCCCCGCATTGGGCTCTGTGCTGACAGCTCAGAACCTGGAGCCTGTTTTGGATTCTGTGTCTCCCTCTCTCTGCCCCTCTGCCGCTTTCTTCAAAAATAAACATTAAAAAAATTTTTTTAAATAGGTAACAAATCTTGGGGTGCCTGGGTGGCCCTGTCAGTTAAGCGTCTGACTCTTGGTTTCAGCTTAGGTCATGATCTTAGTTTCGTGAGTTCAAGCCCCACATGGGGTTCTTTGCTGACCATGCAGAGCCTACTTGAGATTCTCCCTCTCTCTCTGTCCCTCTTCTGCTCGCACTCTCTCGCTCTTTCTAAAAAATAAATAATAAATAAAAAACATAAGAGGCGGCTGGGTGGCTCAGTCCGTTAAGCACTTACTTGACTTCAGCTCAGATCATGATCTCATGGTTTGTGGGTTTGAACCCCGAATACTGACAGTTCAGAGCCTGGAACCTGCTTGGGATTCTGTGTCTCCCTGTCTCTGCCCCTCCCCCACTAACACTCTGTCTCTCAACGATAAATGAACATTAAAACTTCTTTAACCTTAATAATAACAATAAATCTTACCAAAATAGTCGTTGCAATTCTCTTGAATTAACAAATGATCCTTGAGCACTGTTGATATTTAGGCTTGTTCTAAACCCCTTCCCTACCCTCACCCCCTGCATTACGGTCTTCAGTCTGCACAGCAATGCCACGATGGAGGAAATGTCATTCCCCCGAGGCACAGAGAGGTTAAGTGACTTACCTGAGGTCACAGAGCTTGTTCCTGGGAGATTGGCGTTCCTACCATGACCGCGACTCTTGGCTGTGATCAAACCCTGTTTCCAGACAACCCTCAGTGTGGTGGTGGAGGGTGGAGGGTGTCACAAGCCAGGATTGCAGAGTGACACCTTTTTTGTGTCCCTGACCAGCTGCCAGAGGCAGTCAGATTCTACCGCTCATTCCCTGGGTGGCCTCAGGCAGCCCTCTGTGCCTCAGTTTCCTGACGCCTCTTTTCCTGCCTCTGCCCCCCAGGTCTCCCACAGGCTCCTGCAGAATCATCTTCGTCACACCCAGAGTTGGCGGCCACCTCCCCGGCACAGCCTGAGAAGAAGGCAGGTGGAGTGCCCGCCTGTGAGGCTGCTAACACGGAGCCCACCGGGCAGGCGGCCTCATGCGAGGCCGCAGAGGCGGGGGGCACAGGTGAGTGAGGGCGGCCTCGTTGGGACCGGGGCACTAGAGGACCCAAGGCATGGGGTCTGGCTTCGTGAGATCCATTAAGGGCACCACCTGTCCCCCCAGGCGAGCCCCCGGCAGGCGTGCGGTCCATCATGAAGCGCAGAGAGGAGTCCGCAGACCCCCCAAACCCCCAGAGAAGCCTGCAGTTTGTGGGGGTCAATGGCGGGTAAGAGGAGCGCCCGCCCCCGCCCTTTCCTCATCTTCTCCCCTCCTGTTTGTCCCTGTCCAAGGTCGCACTCTGGTCCAGGCCCCTCACACGCCTTTAACCAAGGCACAGTAGACGGATGGGGCACAGTAGACGGATGAGGCACCGCGAGGCCTAATGCCTTGGGGGAGCTCACAAGCCACCAGGTGCTGCCCCAGTCACCGCGGATGTCACCCAAGGAGGGGACAAGCAGGAGCTAGCAACGCGGAGAGTGGGGGCTGGGAGACTCCTGCCCGAGGGCACCGCCTGGATAAAGGCTCAGAGGTGGGAGGGGGCTCCTGGGGGGCTCAGGCAGCTCAGTGTCCGACTCTCGACTTGGGCTCAGGTCATGATCTCACGGTTCGTGAGCCTGAGCCCCACATCAGGCTCTGGATAGCACAGAGCCTGCTTAGGATTCTGTCTCCATCTCTCTCAGCCCCTCCCCTGCTTGCTCTCTATTTCTCTTTTAAAATAAATAAAAATAAACTTTGAAAAACACACAAAGAAGCAAGAGGCATAGGAAGGAGTAGACAGGAATGGTTTGGGGACTCAAATGCCAAGGCCACAAGCGCTGACTTTGTCCAGGGGCAGCAAGTAACACAGGACGGTCCTGTTTGCAGGGGTGAGGGTCTGAAGCAGTGAGGGTCACAAGGGGCAAAAGGGGAAGAGGTACTGAGGAGTAGAAGGTGAAAAGCAGTGTTTCTCCCTGACCCACCCCAAGCACGATCACAGGCATAACTAGTGTTTATTGAGCACCTACTATGTGCAGAGTGCCGTAGAGCACATCCCTGCAGGTCTGAGAGGCTGATACTGCCGTTGTTCCCGTTTAACAGATGGGGAAACCAAGGCCCAGAGAGGTCCAGTAGTCAGAGCCCTGCGCCCCTCCCCTGTTCAGTCCTGCGATGCCTCCCCCACGCCCCCATCCTTCCTTCCCAGATATGAGTCCTCATCTGAGGACTCCAGCACAGCAGAGAACTTCTCAGACAACGAGAGCACAGAGAACGAGGCCCCAGGGCCAGAGGAGAGGGTTCCGAGTGTGGCTGAAGCCCCCCAGCTCAAGCCCCCGGGTTTGGCAGTGGCCAAGACCCACCAGGAGGAGTGCCAGCCGTCTCGGGAGCCTCAGCACGTGCCGGCGGAGGAGGGGGCGTCAGGAGCAAATGCAGAGGAAGACATCCGGTCAGTTTTCTGTGTGTGCGGGGACTTGACACGGTGGGTGACCTCTGCCTCAGATCTCACCATTCGTGCCCTCTGAGCAGACCTCCTGTCAGTCATGCACACCTTAGTCTGAACTAGCGAAGAAGCACTTTCTCCTGGTCATCTGAAGGTCTGCAAGCTTTGTTAAAGGGCCTGATTGGGACAATTTGGCCTGTTGGGGGTTAGAATTTAAGGGGCAGGCAGTTTGTCCTTAAGCAGCTTACATTCTTTGGGACAGATGCCCCACCTGCCTATCCTGCTTGTGTCTTTCTTCCCCTGGGGAAAATCTGCCCCTGGGAGAAGATTTTCTATCCACCACTGCCCACTGGGCATAAACTTTAGCCTATGTGTCCACTTCCTCTTGGGATCTGTGTGCTCCCCATGTCTGGGGTCACCTAGGAGGCCAAAGTGAGTGCTCCCAAGTAAACTCCCCTCTTTTCGGCCCCTGGCAGGATGGAGCTAAGCCCCGACCTCATCTCAGCCTGCCTGGCCCTGGAAAAGTACCTGGACAACCCCAATGCCCTCAGTGAGCGGGAGCTGGTACGACGGGGTCCTGCGCCTGGGGCCCCTCCATCCCCACCGCCACCCCAGCTTCGCCCCATGTGCATGGTCTCCCCATACCTGCTTCGAGGGGACGCCGGGATCCAAGCTGGGAGCTTGGGGTGGGGGGGTTGGTACTTGAGTCCTGGGCCTTGGAGAGGGGTCAGGGTCGGGGGAGGGGCCGAGGGTGGTCCCCTGCTAGCAGCCTGGCCTCTGGTTCCTGTTCTTCGGGGGGCTTGAGGGCAGGCGCTGCCACATGTCTCTTGATGGGCGTCCCTTTGTGGCCGGGCCGGAGACGCGCACGCCCCCTCGGGGGCGCATCCGGGCCTGCAGCCTCTGTACTTCCCGTGAGAGCCCTTGTCCCCGCTGGGGATGCACACTTTCTAGGCCAGGGGCTCACCTGGGGAGGGTGTCCCCACTTGTCCTTCAGGCTCCGGTTCAGGGTGCGGGTGTCCCGATGCGCACTCCCGCCCCGGGGCTCCGTCCAGGGGCTGCCGCCGCCCTCAGACGCCTCTCCTCCCCCCGCCCCGTGTCCAGAAGGTGGCCTACACCACGGTGCTCCAGGAGTGGCTGCGGCTGGCCTGCCGCAGCGACGCCCACCCCGAGCTTGTGCGGCGCCACCTGGTCACCTTCCGGGCCATGTCGGCGCGGCTGCTGGACTACGTGGTCAACATCGCCGACGGCAACGGCAACACGGCCCTGCACTACTCCGTGTCCCACGCCAACTTCCCCGTTGTGCGACAGCTGCTCGACAGTGGTGAGCCGCGCGGCTGGCCGAGGGGGACCCGGCAAGCGGCTGGCTGCTAACCCCGTATGATGGTCTGATGGGGGAGACACGGCCCTCCCTGTCTGGTGGAAGAGACACCCACCCTGCACATCTGATGGGGGAGACACTATCGTCCTAGTCTCTTGGGGCACCTTCCCAGTCTGTTGGGGGAGACACCGATCCTGCGTGTCTGATGGAGGAGACGCTGCCCTCCCAGTCTTATGGGGGAGACACCACCATGCCAGTCTGGTGGGGGAGGCTCAAGCCCTACCCATAGCCCTAGCATACTGGAAAAGGCAGACGTGCTCTTACGGACAACGTGTAGACTTTCTGCCCCCCACCCACCCCCAGAGCCCCTTGTGTAAGGAAGCTGACCCCTCCGGAGCCCTAGTCTGAGAGAAGGACATAGCCTCCACTCTGGGACTTAAAAGATGTGGTCCTTGAAGAGGCAGGAAGAAATTGTCCTTTCCTGGTCTGATAGGAAAGGCAGCCTCCCAGACTGTCGAAGGAGGCAGAGCCCACAGTCTGATGGAGAAGATCTAGGCCAGTCTGAAGGGGGCCAGCTCTTCCAGACGCATCCCCAGTTCCAAGCGCTCAGCCTGGGTGCCAGCGTCAGAGGTCTTCCCGGCTGATGGAGGAGACAGTCTCGCCCTTAGAATCCCCTCGTCTCATGGGGCGGCATAATGGAGGCGGGGGCCCTGGGGTGGAATGGGGCTCTCAGCCTGAGAAAGGGGAGGAACTGGGGCGCAGCCACACTGCCGGGGGGAGATGTGGGTTGTTGCTCACGGACCCTCCCCCGGGTCTGAGGCAGAGGCCTGGCCAGGAGCAGCGGGGTCTGAGGACTCATGTCCTCCTTGCCACCCCCCCCCCCCCCCCGCAGGTGTCTGCCAGGTGGACAGGCAGAACCGGGCCGGCTACAGCCCGCTCATGCTCACCGCTCTGGCCGCCCTGCACACCCAGGACGACCTGGAGACCGTCTTGCAGCTCTTCCGGCTCGGAGATGTCAACGCCAAAGCCAGCCAGGTACAGGCCCCTCCGCGCCGCAGGCCCAGGCGGCCCTTCGCGCTTACAATACGAGGTCCTGGCTGTGCGCCAGGCCCCCACGTGATCTCATTCCCTGCCCAGGGGGAGAATCCCCACTCCACGGGCGAGGAAACTGAGGCTCAGAGAAGCGCTCATTTCCTCAAGGGCAGACTAGAGGAGGTGGGATTTGAACCCAGACAGTCTGGGTCTAGAACCCCATCCTTAATGACCTGCCTGCCAGGCTGCCTCTGAGACAGGGCCTTCGGGGGGAGACGGGGCCGGTGTGTGGGAGGGACCTTTACCTTTCTTAATGCGACGCCCTCCACCATCTGGGCAGCTGCTGGGCGCTGGGGCTCACGCAGTGGACAGGCAGGCACAGCACCCGCTGTCCTGCAGCTCCCGAGCCAGCCTGGAGCTCTGGAAGCCGAGCGCCCCTCGGGCAGCACAGAGGCCTGGAGCGGGTTGGGACTTGGGGGCTGCAGAAAGCCGCGGGGCGGGGCGCCTGGGTGGCTTAGTCAGTTAAACGTCCGACTTTCGCTTAGGTCATGATCTCGCGGTTCGTGGGTTCGAGCCCCGCGTCGGGCTCTGTGCTGACAGCCAGCTCAGAGTCTGGAGCCTGTTTCAGAGTCTGTGTCTCCCTCTCTCTCTGACCCTCCCCTGCTCATGCTGTCTCTCTCAGAAAAAAATAAAACATTAAAATAAAATAAAATCTCCCTCTAGCTGCATGTGGGGGAGCAGAAGCCGGGAGAGCATGGAGGGGACTGGGGTGAAGACGTGTCTGGGCAGAGGGCTCCATGGGGACAGCAAGAAAGGGAGGGATTTGCAACAGCCTCAGTAGGATGAAGGAGACGGACAGGGCGCGGTCCTGGGGCGGAATGAGAGCAGACCCCACTTGCTTTTTTATGGGTTTAGTTTGTCTTTAAAAACGATATTTCAGTGGCTTCCTTATTTTACCTGCGGTGAAGTTCAAACAGGCTTGTCCCTCTTAGGGGCGCCTGGCTGACTCAAGGGGCAGAGCATGTGATTTTTGATCTTGGAGTCATGAGTTCGAGCCCTATGTTGGGGGTAGGGTTTACTTAAAAAAAAAAAAAAAGACTATCCTTTTTAAAGTACACGATTTCAATCGCATTTAGTGCATTCGCAATGTTGTACAATCATCACCTCTATCTACTTCCAGAACATTCTTATCACCGCCCCCCAAAGGAAACATGGCACCATTAGCAGTCACTTCCCCTCCTAGCCACCCTCCTGGAAACCACCGGTCTACTTTCTATCTTTACTGATTTACCAGTTCTGGATATTTTACAGAAATAGAATCGCGTAGTATGTGTTCTTTTGGGGCTGACCCCTTTCACCAAGCATAGTATTTCCAGGGTTCGTCCACAAGGCCGTGTGCATCAGTGCTCTGTTTCTTCCTAAGACTAATATTCTTTAGTGCGGGTAAACCACGGGCTCTTTTTCTACTCCTCTGCTAATGAACATTGATTTGATTTTTTTAAAAATATTAAAAAAAAATTTTTTTTTTAATGTTTTATTTATTTCTAGGAGAGAGAGAGAGAGAGACAGCGTGAGCAGGAGAGGGTCAGAGAGAGGAGTCACAGACTCCGAAACAGGCTCCAGGCTCTGAGCTGGCAGTCAGCACAGAGCCCGACGTGGGGCCCGAACCCACGAACTGCAAGATCATGACCTCAGCGAAAGTCGGACACGTAACCGACTAAGCCACCCAGGCGCCCCATTAAAAATATTTTAATGTTTATTTGTTTTTGAGAGAGACAAAGCATGAGCAAGGGAGGAGCAGAGAGAGAGGGAGACACAGAATCCGAAGCAGGCTCCAGGCTCCGAGCTGTCGGCACAGAGCCCCACGCAGGGCTCGAACCCACAGACCGTGAGATCGTGACCTGAGCCAAAGTCAGATGCTTAACTGACTGAGCCACCCACCCAGGCCCCCCAACATTGATTTGATTTTCATTGAGGCTTAGCTGACTTACAGAAAAGCATAGAAATCTCAGCTCGATAAATGTTTACGTATATTTATACCCGGGAGCTAGGAACCTGCTTTAGTTGGGGGTGGGAGCAGGTAATCAAGTAGCATCTCCCGGAAGAGGAAACATTTAAGCCGAGATGTGAGGGATGAGAAGGAGACAGCAGGAGGAGCAGGGGATCAGCAAGTGCAAAGGCCCAGTGGTGGGAGGGCTCGTTCGAGATCTGGAAGGAGGCCCTGAGTGGAGATGCTGTTGCCGCCACAGGACTCGGGAACCATGGAGGGTTCCGGAGCAAGGCCGTCACACCTTGGGGTCTGCGTGGTCCATAAGCCTGTCCCTTGCCCCACCCAGGCGGGGCAGACGGCCCTGATGCTCGCGGTCAGCCACGGCCGCGTGGACATTGTCAAAGCCCTGCTGGCGTGTGAGGCGGACGTCAACGTGCAGGATGACGACGGCTCCACGGCCCTCATGTGTGCCTGCGAGCACGGCCACAAGGAGATCACGGGGCTCTTGCTGGCGGTGCCCAACTGCAACATCTCCCTCACCGACCGCGTGAGTCCCCCCTCCCCGGCCCGGGGGCACCCCAGGGAGGGCGGGAGCACAGCTCAGGGCCTCCTCACAGCAGGGGATCTTCACAGGACGGGAGCACAGCACTGATGGTGGCTTTGGACACGGGGCACAGTGAAATTGCGTCCATGCTGTACTCCCGCATGAACATCAAGTGCTCGGTGAGTGCCGGGCCCCCGGGCCACTGTGGGCGGCAGGGGGGGCTTCGGGAAGGCGCGGAAGACACACCCTGGTAGCCGTGGCCCTGAACCAAACAGGAAACCGTTTCTGCCCTCACAGAGCAGGTGTCTGGTAAGGTACACGATACGCAATATGGGGTATCAGAGCCAGGCGGGGTAACTGCCAGAAAGAAATCCAAAACAAGGCTAGAGGGGCAGCAAGCGATGGGGAGCTATTGAGGCAATGAAGGGGTGAGTTGTGTAGCTGTCCGTGCAGATGAAGCAGCCAGTGCAAAGGCCCTGAGGCAGGAGCGTGCCTGGTGTGTTTGAGGAGCATCGAGGGCCCCCCTTTGGGAGGAGGGAAGGGTAGGGAGGTGACACACTAGATCATGCAGGACCTTGTGGGCCACGGTGAGGACTTTGGCTTTCGTTCGAAGCGTGTCAGTGTATTAAAGGCCTTGAGATGTCTTATTGTAAAGATTATCTCTTTTAAGAAATCATGCCTGTTAGCAAAACACTCTCTGAAAGCGTCACAGGAGGATAATTTTTTTTAATGTTTTATTTATTTCTAGGAGAGAGAGAGAGACAACGTGAGCAGGGGAGGGTCAGAGAGAGAGGGAGTCACAGACTGAAACAGGCTCCAGGCTCTGAGCTGGCAGTCAGCACAGAGCCCGACGCGGGGCTCGAACCCACGAACCGAGAGATCATGACCTAAGCGAAAGTCGGAAGCTTAACCGACTAAGCCACCCAGGCGCCCCACAGGAGGATAATTTTGATACTTAATGTAGCATAAGTGTCTGATGGAGGAGAAAGCTTTTCCAGTCTGAAGGGGGAGACGAGCACTCCTCATAGGCCTCTTTAGAGATGAAGCAATACCTTTATCTGATGGAGGAGACAATCCCTTTTGGTCTGATGGAGGAGGCAAGCTCTTCCAGTCTGATGGACTGTCCGCTGAGTGCCTCTCGGGCCTGATTTCTCGAGCCCTCCGCAGTGGCTTGATTGTGCTGCATAAAGTACTGGTATTATTTCCATTTTTCAGGTGGGGAAACTGAGGCTTAATGGTCACATCCCTGGCCCAAGGTCTCACAGATCGGAAGGAGTGGAGGCCCCGGGGTCCATGTGACTCCAGACCTTGGGAAGGAAACTCCCCGCTCCCTCCTCCTCACTCCTGCCTTGCGTTGGCCTCCCCGAGGGATGCCGGGGGCCCGGTCCGAGGGTGGCACGGTGGCTGTTAACAGCAGTGATTCCCCCAAACAGCCATCTGTCTCGCACGTGGCTTCCAGATTCTCGTTGAGGCTCTGGGTTTTTTCAGCTTCGTTCCCCAGGGTGTTGGGGCCCCCGGGGCTCAGTTGTGGTGCTCGGGGCATCACCTGGGGAAGAGCTCTGGGCCTCAGTTTCCTCAGCTGGAAGATGGGGCTGATGGGAGCCGGTGATGTCCTGTTGGGTGATGTGTGGTCTTGCCCCCAGGAGCCCCTGGGGGACAAGCCCTAATCATCCACCACCGTCTACCTGGCCCCCTCCCGTTGCCTCCCCGCCTCACTGCCGCCTCTGGCCTGTTCTCCCCCCAGGGGAGAGGTCACCGTGAACACCCTAGTGAGGGTACAGCCCCCTGTGGCTGTCCGCCTACTTAGAGAAAAAGCCAAAGTCCTCCCCAGAGCCCACCTGCACGACTACCCTCACTGCCCCCTACTCTCCTTCCTCTCCCCCTTTGCTCAGTCTGCTTGGCCAGTAGCCACTGCCCCTGCCTCAGGACCTTTGCACTTGCGGCTTTCTATGTCAGAGCGCTCCACATCGCTCTGAAAGTCCCCATCCCTGACTACCTGCTCTCCACTTTCATTCCCCCCCACCCTGTATCCGTGATGAAAACCCTCCTTGGCATTCATTTGCTTCTCTGAACATCACCTCCCTGAGGCCAAGGGAGTCCAAGTCCCTCTTGCCCACTCACCCCAGCCGCAGGGCCGGCCAGCCAAGTTGGCACCTCGTAGGCATCGGCAAGGATGCCAAACAAAAGGAATTCTGCTTCTTGTTTCAGTTTGCTCCGATGTCAGATGACGAAAGTCCTGCGTCATCCTCTGCCGAAGAATAGCCGGGAGGGAGGCCTGGGGGGGGCCGGCCAGCCCACCCCAGCGCGACCCGTCCCTCCTCCCGCGTCTCCTCCCCCCCTTCCCTCGCCAGCACCCCCGGCTCATACCCACCAGGGCCCGCGTCACAAAGGCAAGTGGGCTTTCCTGCTGCTTCCCAGGGGAGCCCCCGGCAGCCCAGGCCTCCAGCTTTGCAGCGGGGTTTTCCTGCTCCACCAGTTCAAAGCGGCCGCGGTGCAGACTGGAGCGAAATTCTTACATAAATCGGCGCCAGTGGCTGAGGCTGGGGCGTGGGTTTATGAAGAACGCCGAGAACAATCGACTGGCAATTACAGATGGAGGAGGGCTAAAGGGAAAAATACTGTATTTTTTTTATCATTATGGGGGGGCCGCAGAAATCGTATGCCTTCTTGCCAAATTTGAAAGTCACTGGAATCGCATAGTTTCATTTTAATCCTGAATGTCGTCATCCCGCACGGGTCATGTCTGCAGTGGCTTCACGCCCCCCTCGCCCGCCCCACATTTAATTGTCTGGTTATATAATGGTGTTTTGTCCACTCCCCCCCGTCTCCCCACCAGACAGCTTTCTCAGGAGAACTGTGTTCTGGTCTCTTCACAAAACAGATTTCTGTCCTTGTCACCCGGGGCAGGGAGCTCAGTCCTTTTTTTCTGCTTTCTCACTGCCATGGCCTAAGTCACCCCCATTCAGGGGCGGTGGGACGGGGGGGGGGGGGTGGCGCTCAGGACCCAGCAGCCGAGACATCGAGAGATCACCCAGAAATCCGTCCCCTCCCTGCCTGGAGGCCCTGGGCAATATTAATTTTCCTAGAAAATCCTTCAGACCTGGGGACTCAGGAAATGAATCCGGTTCCCAGAGCAGCGGCTGGAGTCCCCGGGCTGAGAATCCGGGGAACGGGGCTGTCTTCATCCTCCCCCGGTTCCAGAATTTTTCCCCACAAAGGGGGGAAAAACACAAAAACCAGGGTCTGTGCATGTTGGCAAAGCACAGGGCAAGCTCCAGAAACTCCATGTGCGCACAATTAAAAGTTGGCTGCCCCCCTGAGGGCTCCCAGTGCAAACTTAAAGGGCCAGGGCTTTGGCGAAAACCAAACAAGGGCCAGCTGGTTTTGTTTTGTTGTGTTGTGTGTGTGTGTTTTTTTTAAACACAACCTATAGGCCTTCCGGAGCTGCTTGGAACAGAGCCTGCTGGAAATCGGGCTCGTCACACACACACGCTTTCCTCCATGGCCTGTTTTGTCCTCCAGTGTCCACATAGGTTTCTTTCCAGTTCCTTCCTTTTGTGAGCCAAAAAAAAAAAAAACAAAAAACGGGGGGAAGGGGTTCTGAGCCTTGAGGAGTTAAGTGCCTTCTGACAGGCAGTGAAGGTCCCTAAGGGAATAGGTGTCCTGTCTTCTCTCCGGCCGGTTCTGTCCACTTGGCCCTGAATGCTCACTGCTGTTCATTCAGGAAAGCGCAGCGCTGGCTTCTCTCCTACAAAAGTAGGTTTCTTGGCTTGATGGAGCCTGGCTTGCTTTGATTTTGGCTGACAGAGGAGGTACCCGAGACAAAAGAGCTCGGATGGTCGAAGGAGACATCCTAGATTGTGTGTGTGTGTGTGTGTGTGTGTGTGTGTGTGTGTGTGTAAACTGGAGAGAAAACAAAACCAAAGCCTACTGGGGACAATTGGTATGTGACAGAAGGCCACAACTTTGGGCAGCTTTGAGAAGCGGGACAGAAGTCGTGTGCCCGCACGTCTGGCCCTGGAGCCAGCGGTCATGGTCAAGTTAAGCTCCTCAAAGCAGCTCCTCGACACCCCTCCCCAGATAACTCCGCATTTATCCCTGCTTTCCCTTCGCCCGCTCCCCCCACCCCCATCGGGCTTGGCGCGCTAGGCTACAGGGATGTCCCGCCTCTGTCCCCTGTTCTCCTGCCACGTGTATTCATGCCCTTGAAGTTCACTTCCCGACCACGGTACGTCCATAAAGACAGTATTACACTTTTAAATGAAGTATTCCTTTTTGTAATCGTTTTTTAGAAGGTAAAGGAATTTAATAAAACTACTTTATGATAATGTGCACGCGTCACTGTCTGGTCTTTGTCTCCTCACTGTACTCCTCTTTAAGTTTTAAAATAGATTGCTTTTGGGGCGCCTGGGGGGCTCAGTTGAGTGTCCGACTTTGGCTCAGGTCATGATCTCACGGTTCAAGGGTTCAAGCCTCGCGTGGGGCTCTGTGCTGACAGCTCAGAGCCTGGAGCCTGCTTCAGAGTCTGTGTCTCCCTCTCTCTCTAACCCTCTCCTGCTCACGCTGTCTCTATCTCTCTCTCAAAAAGAAATAAAACATTTTTTTAAAAAAGAATAAAATAGATCGCTTTTTTTTTTTAATGTTTTATTTATTTCTAGAAGAGAGAGAGAGACAGTGTGAGCAGGGGAGGGTCAGAGAGAAAGGGAGTCACAGGCTGAAACAGGCTCCAGGCTCTGAGCTGGCAGTCAGCACAGAGCCCGACGCGGGGCTCGAACCCACGAACCGCGAGATCATGACCTAAGCGAAAGTCAGGCGCTTAACCGACTAAGCCACCCAGGCACCCCTAGATCGCTTTTTTAGAGGCGCCTGGGTGGCTCAGTCGGTTGAGTGTCCAACTTCAACTCAGGTCGTGATCTCACGGTTCGTGGGTTCGAACCCTGTGTCGGGTTCTGTGCTGACAGCTCAGAGCCAGGAGCCTGCTTCAGAGTCTGTGTCTCCCTCTCTCTCTCTGACCCTCCCTGCTCATGCTGTCTCTATTTTCTCTCAAAAATAAATAAAACATTTTTTAAAAAAAGAATAAAATAGATCGCTTTTTTAGGGGCGCCTGGGTGGCTCAGTTGGTTGAGCATCTGACTCTTGATTTCGGCTCAGGTCACGATCCCTGGGTCGTGGGATCGAGCCCTGTGTCAGGCTCAGTGTTAAGCATGGCGCCTACTTAAGATTCTCTCCCTCTGGGGTGCCTGGGTGGCTTAGTCGGTTAAGCGTCCGACTTTTGCTTAGGTCATGATCTCGCGGTTCGTGGGTTTGAGCCCCGCGTCGGGCTCTGTGCTGACTGCCAGCTCAGAGCCTGGAGCCTATTTCAGAGTCTGTATCTCCCTCTCTCTCTCTGACCCTCCCCTGCTCACGCTGTCTCTCTCTCCCCTAGAAATAAATAAAACATTAAAAAAAAAAAAAAGATTCTCTCCCTCTGCCCTTCTCCCCAGCTTGTGTGCTCTCTCTCAAATAAGTAAAAGGGGCGCCTGGGTGGCTCAGTCGGTTAAGTGTCCAACTTCAGCTCAGGTCATGATCTCAAGGTCGGCGACATCGAGCCCCACATTGGGCTCTCTGCTGTCAGTACAGAACCTGCTTGAGACCCTGTCTCCCTCCCTCTCTGCCCCTGCCCCAGTCGTGCTTTCTCTCTCTCAAAAATAAACATTTAAAAATAAAATGGCAAATAAATATAAGGGCTCATTGTAAGCAATGTTCAAAGCAACAGAAAAGTCACAGTAAACTCCTTTTGCTCTCCACAACACCGGCACTGTCCCAAGTGGCTATTTCCACTTATTTATTTAAAGTTTTTATTTTGAGAGACGGCGCGAGCAGAGGAGGGGCAGAGAGAGGATGAATCCCAAGCAAGGCTCCCCATTGTCAGTGCAGGGCCTGACGTGGGGCTCAAACCCACGAACTGTGAGATCATGAACTGAACTGAAACCAAGAGTCAGACCCTTAACCAACTGAGCCACCCAGGCGTCCAAACCCACGAACTGTGAGATCATGAACTGAACTGAAACCGAGAGTCAGACCCTTAACCAACTGAGCCACCCAGGCGTCCCTCTTTCCATTTAAACATAAATGTGTCTGCATGTGGCTGTTTCCATTTAAATATAAATGAATTATAGTTAATTTGTGTGCAACAGCCACATGCGTCTGGTGGCTGCTGTTTTGAGCTACTGAGATCCAGCACGTTGCCACTGTTGCAAAAAGTTTTAATAGACACCCACCATGAACACCTCAGAAAAAATTCTTTACTCATTTTTTTCCCTGTGACAAAACAATTCATAGTAATTATAAAAGGCAAATTTTTTTTTTTAATTTACTTTTGAGAGAGAGACAGAGCGAGTAGTGGAGGGGCAGAGAGAGGGAGACATACAGAATCAGAAGCAGGCTCCAGGCTCTGAGCTGTCACCACAGAGCCCGATGCGGGACTGGAACTCATGAGCTGTGGGATCATGACCTGAGTCGAAGTCGGACACTTAAGCGTCCCAGCTCAGGATCTTGGGTTGTGAGTTGGAGCCTCATGTTGGGCTAGGTGCTGGCAGTGTGGAGCCTGGTCTCGATTCTCGCTCCCTCTCTCTCTGCTCCTCCCCAGCTCGTGTTCTCTCAAAAATAAATGAACAAGTTTAAAATCAACAAAATCCCCCTTGAAAAATGAAATCAGGGCGCCAGGGTGGCTTAGTCAGTTGAGTGTCTTGACTCTTGGCTTCCGCTCACGTCATGATCTCACTTTTGTGAGTTCGAGCCCTGCATCTGGCTCTGCACTGACAGCACAGAGCCTGCTTGGGATTCTCTCTCTCTCTCCCTCTCTCTCAGCCCCTCTCCTGCCAGGAGATCATGGGTGGCTTTCAGGAGGTTTTGGAAGTCCCAGAAACTTATGCAAAGTTGTATGCTTCTCAGCTAAAGGTCTATTACTTGTCAGTTCTCCAGAGGGATCTCTGAGCCCAGAGGCCTCCGAGAAATACAAAATATTGTTGCTCACAAACCAATTGCCCGGGGCCATTTTATCGTCTTTGTTATCTTGTTCAACTCACGCTTAAGACCCTGTTCCCCAACCTCACCCATTTTCTTGCTTTGCTTTTTTTTTTTAAATGTTTTATTTTTTTCTAGGAGAGAGAGAGAGAGAGAGAGACAGCGTGAGCAGGGGAGGGTCAGAGAGAGAGGGAGATACAGACTCTGAAATAGACTCCAGGCTCTGAGTTGGCAGTCAGCACAGAGCCTGACACGGGGCTCGAACCCACGAACCGCGAGATCATGACCTAAGCGAAAGTCGGACGCTTAACCGACTAAGCCACCCAGGCGCCCCTGCTTTTTTCTAATACGTGTATTTTTTAGTTCTAAAATATTCATGACACCATCTAAGCCACTTTTTCGAGATTTTAGTGTTGCTTTTTTCTCAAGTAATCTCTACACCCAACATGGAGCTTGAATTCCCAACCCTGAGGTCACGTGTCACGTGCTCTACCGACTAAGCCAGCAGGTGCCCCTCCCCCCACCATCTAAGCCATTTGTAAATGTCCAGTTCAGTGGTATTAAGTACGTTTTCACACTTGTGTAGCCGTCAGCACCCTCCATCTCCGGGATAGTTTCCTCTTCCTAGACGGAAACTGTTCCCATTAACTATTAACTCTTCACCGCCCCCCACCCCTACCCAATGGGCTACCGCCACCGCGCTTCTTGTCTCTATGAATGTGACTACCATAGGGACTTCAAATAAGTGGGACCATGCAGTGGATGTCATTTTGTGACTAGCCCAGGTCCCTTAGCATAAGGTCCTCAAGTTTCCTCCGGTAGCAGGGGTCAGAATTTCGTTTTGAAGACTGAACAGTCTTTGTGCTGTGGATACACCGCACTTTGCTTAACCATCTCCCCCATCAGCGGATGCTCAGATCGCTTCCCTCTTTCCGGCTATTGTAAACAGTATTGGGTGTACAAATACCTCCAAGATCTCGCTTTCAATTTTGGGGGCGGTATTTACCCAGAAGTGAAATGGCTGGGGTATTCTATGTTTAATTTGGTGAGGAAACTGCCACGTTTTCCGTAAGCTGCTGCACCCATAGGACATTCCTACCCACGGTGCCCGAGAATTCCAACTTCTCCACATCCTTCCCCATACTTTTTTTTTTTTTTTTAATAACACCCATTCTGGTGGCTGGAAGGTCATTCTGGGTTTGGAAGGGAGGTGAGTGACCTTTTTTTGACAAGAGCATTTATATCCATCAGGCTAGGGTTGTGCAATCCCGAGAATGGCTTATCTCCTGAACATCCCACCCGGCTGATAAGAAAGAGCTATCCTTAGCCCGGGGTTTTGGAAAGGGTAAGAGCTTGCCAAGGTCATGGGTAATCTACGGAACCAGAAACCAAAGCCCTGACGTCTTCTTTTTATTTCACTCTGCCTGCCACCTGTAAGCTTGGAGAACTTGAACACCGGCCACCAGTCTTTGCAATCTTTGCACAAAATGCTCAGCCAAGGGAAGGGCGAGCATTGCTCGCCACAATGCCCTGGGGACCCAGCTCCGTGCCCACACACTGGCATTTCTGCAAGAGGCTCATCCTTTCTACATCTGCTAGTGACTCCATGAGATGGGCTGGGCAGACTCTTCACCTAAAAATCCGGGGATGGCCTTCCGGAGTCCTAAACCCCAAATATGCGCAGAATCCCAAAGTGCCAAAGTGCGTGGATGTTCGGTGTGCTTTTCTCAAGGAAGGGCTCATCTCATTGTTTTTGTCAGAGTTCAAAGGGATCTGTGACCTGGGTAAGATTACATAAATATATTAGTCCTCGGGGCGGCCCCAGCTATAGGACCAGTGTAAAAATATAAAAACAGCCCTTGGCAGGGGGGGAGGTCTTTGCAAAAACTCTCTGTTGAAAGTAAGCTCTAAGGAGGGAGGTGGCCCCAGGCCTGTGGTCAGGGACCTGACTGCTCTGTGGTAGCTTCTCTCCTTCGCCCCCCAGCCCCAGCTGCACTTTCTTGGTTTCGCTGGCTTCCCCCTCTTTTCTGTAATTTCCACAGTTGGAGGGTCTCAGAGCTTGGTCCTTGGACCCCCCTCCTCATTATTCTGTTGCAGGGCGGTGTCATCTGGTCTCAGCTGCATCCTGACAACTGGCTTTTACTCCCAGCCTTCACATCTCTGCAGACTCACAGCCAAGCACCCATCTTCTCGATGGTTCCACGTGGCCATTGCCCAGCTACAGAGATCTCCCCTACACCTTTCGCTTCATGGAGCCCCTCACCTCCGTGCCTGTTCCTCCCTCTCTTGGTCACTAGCACTGATGTGGGAAACAAGGGACAGAAGGAAATGGCAGATAAAGTCCTCATAACCTGCAGCCCATTGACAGATAGTTGAGGCTGGGAGAGTCACTCGTTTCTCCAGGAACTCCTTACTGTCTTCATGCTAATGCTTTGCTAGAGGGAAAAACAGCCTCAGCTTGACAACAGCTAGGCCTCCAGTATCCTGGGAGTCTTCTTTAGCATATGGAAATCTCACTAGAAACTTCCCCTGGACTTTACCCACACAACCCGGTAGTGTATAACCAGTCTCTCCTCACGGTCCCGGGCCAGCTCAGCTCCTTTCCCCTGTGCTTTAATAACATCACCTTTTTGCATCAAAGACGTCTTCAAGAATTCTTTCTTGCTCGTTGGCTCTGGACCCCACGAACCCCATTATCACCCCAAAACACCATCAAGCACCACCACCCAACTAGGTATTTGGGCCAAACACCCAGGCAACATCCGCTTCCTCTTCCTCCTCCTGCATATCCAGCCTGCCCCTGAGTTCTCTGGACTCCAGTCCGCTCCATAGCTCTCCCTACTTCCTGCCTTCTAGTGCTCTCTGTTACACCTGAATAGAGTTTCAGGGCCCCTGGAAGCCCTCTTCCCATGCTTCTCCAGCCACTTGGACCTCCCCACTCTTCCTTAAACACACTGAAATTTCCCCCACTGCCTTGTCCTTTGCGAATTCTCTTTCTTCGCAAGAAACCAGCCTGACGCTGGTTTCCCAACAGCTTTTCATCACTCAGATCCTGGTTCATGGTTCATCTGGCCCCTGCCCAGGGAGTCCGTCCCTGACCACCTGGCCTGAAGTCACTTCCTTCCCTGCCACAAACGCAAGTGACGCTATCCTAGACCCTGTTTGAGGGACTTCAAAGCACCTGTTCCTATCTAAAGGGACCTTGTTCATTCATTTCCTTGCTTATGGTGCGGTCTCGCTATTAGATTAGTGGCCTCTGACGTTTTTGGTGTGACCTACATAAAGATAGAAATTTCATATGTGACCCAGTGATCCAGGTGTTTTGGCTGCATAACATGTAATTCCCAAATTTGCTGCCTTTAAACAATGACATTGATCTTTTATTATTAACTATTTATTCACTCAGAGAGAGAGAGCGCGCATGCAAGTAGGGGAGGGTCAAAGAGAGAGAGGTAGAGAGAATCCCAAGCAAGCTCTGCACTGTCAGCGCAAAGCCTGATGTGGGGCTTGAACTCATGAGCCACCCAGGTGCCCCAACAGTGAAATTGATCTTGCTCACAGATCTTCAGTTTCCGCAGGACTTGGTAAGGACAGCGCACCTCTGCCCCTCTCGGTGTCAGATGGGGCAGCTGGAAGGCTGGGGGCTGGAATTATTTCAATGCTCACTCACTCACCCGTCTGGGGGTTGTTTCTGTCTTCCGCCGCGACTTTATCAGTGAGACTCACCTCGGCTTCCTCACAACATGGAAGCTGGGCTCTGAGAAAGAGCATCTCAAAATCAAGAGAGAGCAAGACAGAGTACAAGCTAGCACCAGGCAGAAGCTGTATCCTAGTTTCTGGCCCAGGCTTGTAGTAATTCACACAGTGTCCTTCTTGCCACATTTTATTTGTTGCACCAAAGTCCTGCTGAGATTCCAAAGGAGGAGAATGAGAGTCTGCCTCTTGACAGGGAGTGGCAAGGTTGGAACTATTTTTGTAGCCATTTTTTGCAAATATAATCTGCCACACCCAATACACAAATGCGCATTTTGGTTTCCCAAAACAATAGTTAACTTTCGGTACACAATGCACTGAATTTTCCCCCCATTGTATTTTGTGTTTTTTTTTTTTTAATTTTTTTTTTAATGTTTTATTTATTTCTAGGAGAGAGAGAGAGACAGCGTGAGCAGGGGAGGGTCAGAGAGAGAGGGAGTCACAGACTGAAACAGCTCCAGGCTCCGAGCTGGCAGTCAGCACAGGGCCCGACGCGGGGCTCGAACCCACGAACCGCGAGATCATGACCTAAGCGAAAGTCGGACGCTTAACCGACTAAGCCACCCAGGTGCCCCCCCCCATTGTATTTTGTACAAAATGCTGGTCATGACCAGTTGAGTTGATTTCTTTACCTCATTTTAAGAAACTTGTCACATAAATGTGGAGCTTATCTTTTCTCTACAATAGCCCTTCACCCAGTGTGGTATTTGGTCCCAGTCAGGCTAGGTGCCTTACCTGCTAGTGTTCTATGTATGTTTTATTTAATGCCTTAATATAGTGCTTACTGAATACCAGGCACTGTCTTTACTTATTCCTCGCGCCAACTCTTAATTAAGTAGGCACTATCGTGACTCATTTTACTGAGCAGGAAACTGAGGCATAAAGGGGTGAAGTTATTTGCCCAAGGTAACAAGCCCGTAAGTGGGATTCGAACCCTATACATCTGGTTGCAGACTCCATTTTGCTATGTAGCCTCTTAGGGGATTTGCTTATTTATTACGTTTATCGTGAGTGTCCCACGCACACACTATAGAATGAAATGCAGTTCAACGCTTTGCCCCTAGAGCCCCGCCCTGGATGCAGCAGGATCTCGGCAGCTAAGGGCTCATAAACAGCTTCAATTTCTGCCAGGCACTTTCTGACCTGCGCAGGCGCAGCACGCGGAACTCCCGCAGTCGCACACCCCCTCCCTGCGGCCGATTGGCCATTGAGGGAGACCGGAGGAGCCGACGCAGGCGCACTAGGCCAGACCTGACGCTAACTCCCACCCATTCCCTGATGACTGACGTACGATCCAGCTAATGGGAGCAGGCTCCTTCGGGGAGGGGGCGGGCCGCGAGGGCGGTTAAATTTGCGCGGGATTGGTCCGCGCGTAGTCATGGCGGCCTTCCGCGACATGGAAGAGGTGAGCCAGGGGCTGCTGAGCCTCCTGGGCGCCAACCGCGCGGAGGCTCAGCAACGGCGGCTGCTGGGGCGCCACGAGCAGGTGGTGGAGAGGCTGCTGGAGACGCAAGACAGCGTCGAACAACGGCTGCAAGGTCAGGGCTGGGGCCGGGGGCGGCCGGGACCCGGGCGCCTGTGTGATGGGAGGTAGCGGCCGGTCCGCCTCGACGAAACCCTCCCTCCTAGGCGCCCCCATCCCTGCCCTGTTCTCCCTTGGGCGCTGCCCCCTCTGGGCCTCAGTTTTCCCCACCCGTGAAATGGGCTTCAGAATGGGAGCCACCTCCCAGAGAGGTAGTGGTGAATATAGCAGCTCGAGGAACTGGCCAATTCTGAGCGTACCGCGAGCAGGAAGGAGCTGGGGGACTCAAGGTTCGAATCGGGGCTCAGGAGTCAAAGCGCTGGGTTTTAATCCCAGCGTCCTCACTTACTGAGGTTCATCTGTTTTACGGAGCACCTGCTGTGCGCCAGGTATAGTGCCAGCCCTGGGTTGGAAGCAGAGAACAGAACGGACACAATCCCTTAACGGCTTGGTATGCTAGTGGTGCGGCGGGCAGACGATAAAGAAGAAAAACGGAGAGGCACCTGGGTGGTTCAGTCGGTTGGGCATTCGACTTCGGCTCAGTTCTCCCCGGTCATGAGTTCGAGTCCCCCATCGGACTCTGCTGTTAGCGCAGAGCCCATTTGCATCCTCCGGCCTCCTGTCTCTGCCCCACCCCTACCTCTCAAAAATAAATAAACATTTAAAAAAAAAAAAAAGGAAGAAAGAAAATGGATATGTCCGGAGATGATGGGCTAAGAAACACTAGGCTATATAGGAGGGAGTGGTGATGTTTTAGGACATTACTTTTTTTTAAAGTAAGACTTGAAGAGGGGCGCCTGGGTGGCTTTCTCGGTTAAGCGTCCGACTTTCGCTTAGGTCATGATCTCGCGGTTCGTGGGTTCGAGCCCCGCGTCGGGCTCTGTGCTGACTGTCAGCTCAGAGCCTGGAGCCTGTTTCAGAGTCTGTGACTCCCTCTCTCTCTGACCCTCCCCTGCTCACGCTGTCTCTCTCTCTCTCTCTCTCTCCTAGAAATAAATAAAACATTAAAAAAAAATAAAGACTTGAAGGTAAAGGGCAAAATCTCTATTAATAAATATCTGAACAAGCTATAGAGAGAGGGCTAGCTAGGTCACCCCACAGGTGAGAGGGGCTCGCCCAGCCTGTGACGGGATTTCAGCTAACTCCTGATCCGGGTAATCCAGTCCAATGGCTTCTCTCTCAAGCCTCGATGTCCTCATCTGTGAAATGGGACTGCTGATAGCACTCACTGTCATTGTTGCTGCTCTTCTCAGTGCCGGGTTTTTATTGCTTTTAAGTCTCCACATTTGTTGTTGTTGTAAAACTGATAGAAGATTTACCACCTGAGCCGTTTGTAAGCATCCAGTTCAGTGACATTAAGTACATTCACTTCATTGTGTGACGGTCACCCCCATCATCTCCAGAATGGTTTCGTTATCTGAAACTGAAACTCTTTTCCTATTAAACACTAACTCCCTATTCCCCTCTGCCAGCCTCTGGCACCCATCATTCTATGTCTCTATGAACTTGACTATTCTAGGGACCTTCTATAAATAGAATCATGAAATTTTGTGCCTCGCTTATTTTCTTTTTATCATTATTTTTTATATTATTTTATCTTTTGTGTCTGGCTTACGTCACTTAGCACAGTGTTTTGTTTTGTTTTGTTTTGTTTTTTAATTTTTTTGTTTTATTTCTGAGAGAGCTCAGAGAGAGATAGAGAGGCAGTGGGAGCAGGGGAGAGTCAGAGAGAGAGGGAGACACAGAATCTGAAACAGGCTCCAGGCTCTGAGCTGGCTGTCAGCACAGAGCCCAACGCGGGGCTCGAACTCACAAACTGTGAGATCATGACCTGAGCCGAAGTCGGATGCTTAACCGACTGAGCCACCCAGGTGCCCCAGCACAGTGTTTTAAAGATGCATCCGTGTTGTAAATTTCCTTTTAAAATATTTATTTTTTTATTTAAAAATTTTTTTATGTTTGTTTATTATTGAAACAGAGAGAAACAGAGCATGAGTGAGGGAGGGGCAGAGAGAGAGGGAGACAGAATCCGAAGCAGGCTCCAGGCTCTGAGCTGTCAGCACCGAGCCCCATGCGGGGCTCGAACTCATGAACGGTGATGTCATGACCTGAGCCGAAGTCGGATGCTCAACGACTAAGCCACCCAGGCGCCCCACATTTCCTTCCTTTTCAAGGCTGAATAACATTCCATAGTCCGGACGTACCTCTTCTTGTTTGTCCATTCTTCCACTGATGGACACGTGTTGCTTCCAGACCCTGGCTGTTGTAAATAATGCTGCCATGAACACATGAACATGGGTGTGCAAATATCTCTTGGGGCCCCTGTTTTCGTTTCTTTTTTTTGTATTTTCCCAGAGGTGGAATTGCCAGATCACTTGGCAATTTGAGATTTCGTTTTTTGAGAGACTGTCATCCAGTTTTCCATAGTGGTGTCGGTGCCAGGTTTTTTTTTTTTTTTTTTTTAAGCCATTTTATAGTTATGTTTTATGTGGCCATGCTGTCTGGCTTGGGACTAAAATGACCTAGGAGCTAAGCAGGGGATGGCTGGGGCTGGGGGTGGGGAAGAGTGTTCCTGGCAGAGGCCACTGCAAAGGCAGGTCGCCAGGTGAGAGTGGACTTGGAGACCCAGGAGAAGGTGGTGGAAGGTCAGCTGTAGCCAGACCCTGCAGGCAGTGAGCCCTCCCCTCCCCCAGGAGTTTGGGGGTAGTTCTAAGGTGGTAGTTCCCCCGCCCAGAGTCTTCCCCTTCCCTCCTCTCTCTCTCTCCCCCGACTCCTTTCACTTCCTCTCCACTGATGGTTTGGGAGAAGATCAGCGGTATCAGCCTGTGTGGGTTTCAGCAGGATGGATGGATTTGGGGCCCAGGAGACTAGAGTCAGTTCCGGGGAGCAGGGGCTTTGAGTTCCTGGGCTCCAGTTCAGACCTGGGCTTCAGAGCTAAGTGCCCGTGGCCCAGTCACTCAACAGCTTTGGGCTTCGATCCTTCCATCCTTCGTCCCTCCACGGGGCAGGGGTTGAGCCACCTCCCTCAGAGGGTTGTGAGAACCGGGCTCCGGGGCTATCCAGCAGCACTCAGCACACGCGCGGGTAATGGCACTTTGTGACAGTGTCCCAGGGAAGAGGGCACTCCCCGGGAAGAATCTGAGCGATTGTCTGGGGAAACGGGGAGGGGAGAAAGGCCAGGAAGGCTCCAGAAGAAAGCCAGACCCGCGGCTCTCCTAACAGGAAATCAGCAGGCGCTGCTTAAAACAGACAAATCAAGAAATAGCAGCATAAGCAAATTATTTAGAAATATGAAGGTCAATGCCAGAGAAAACAGTGATGAGTTGAAAGGGGCTGCTTCAGAGGCGTGGTGAGGCTGGGGGGGCCCCTGTGTGTGTTTAAGCTTTCACAGCCATATACATGTAATACTTGGAGTAAAAATTAACCCAACATAAGTTTGTAAACACTTAAATGCCTGCCCCTCGGGAAGCGTGTCCATCTGTGCCTTCTCCGAGTTGGCCGGTTCCTCTGCTCTGTGGGAACACGGTAACCTTGCTAGGGGGCTTTTGATCCTTCTGGATGTTTTGACAAAGCATGTTTATTCAGAGTAGGTGCTGGTGATATACGCGTCATATAAGACACAGTCCCCGATTCGAGGGAGGAGGAGGAGGAACGAACAGTTCTGTGCAGGAGGGGCAGTGGTGGAAGTGTGGCCGCGGCCCAGGGGGGAGCAGAGTGTCCAGCTGCCCATGTTGTGCACTACCCGGGAGGTCTCAAAGGCTGAGTCTCCGAGTGCCCGAGGGGCGGGAGCACAGGGGCGCCTCAGAGAGGACAGGCGGGTGGAGGCCGGGAAATGGGGTGCGTTTGCAGATTGGGGAGGTGTCTTGTGGCCAGAGCAGAGAGAAAAGTACACAGTGGGGTGAAAGGCAGGGAGAAGGGAGGCTGTCAAGGAAGACAAAGATGCTTTCATTCATTCATTCATTCATTCATGGGGGGATTTGGAGGATTCAAATGTGTTTTGAAGTGGGTGCACTTTGGCAGGGTCTTGGTGGAACCGAGAGGTGGGCTTTTGGAAATAGGACCAGTGGGTTGGGGAGTGGTAGACGGGGAAGTGAGGACGTTCATGGTCAAGGCCTCACACTCTTCTGGGGCAAGACCAGACTCTGGAGAAGCTGCGTTGAAGGGCCTCAGCCTTCTTTCCCGCCCTGCAGAGATCCTCGCCGCGGAGAAAGAAGTGGCCCAGAGCCTTCTGGATGCGAAGGAGCAGGCGCACCAGGGAGGTGCCGAGTTGCAGCAGCTCGAAGCTGAGCTTCAGAAGGCCGGCGAGGAGGACACCCGTCTGAAGACCAGCCTCCTATATCCTTCCCCGAGTGTGCGCATGGCCGGGCCCCGGGGGTGCCGCTTTGTTCACGCTGGGACCCGAGCTCAAGCCCCGGGCCCACGGGCTTAGCGCGGGCAGCCCCCCTTCCGGAGCGAGGTGACCTTAACTGCCTGCTTCACTCAGCTCACCAGGGAGCTGGAGGAGCTCAAGGAGACCGAGGCCAGCCTCGAGAGGCAGGAGAGGGAAGTGGATGAAGACACGACTGTCACCATCCCTTCGGCCGTGTAGGTCCCGGTGTGGTGGTGTGCGCGCACGGGAGTCCTGCAGGCCTGAGCTGGAGTCTGCGCTGGGCTGGGCTAACTTGATCTCTCTCTCTCTCTCTCTCTCTCTCTCTCGTGTTCTCCTACAGGTATGTGGCCCAGCTTTATCGCCAAATTAGCAAAATTGAGTGGGACTATGAGTGCGAGCCAGGGATGGTCAAGGGCAGTATCCTTTTGCAGAGAAAGTGGTGCCCGGTGCGCTGCCCGTGGCCTTGTGGAGTGCTGGGCTGCCGTGGGAAAGTCTGGCGGGTCCTCAGAAATGAAACACAGGGTCACGTATGACCCAGCAGTCCCCCTTCTGGGTTGTACACCTGCGTTCGTGACTACAGTGGTGACAGTGGCCGAAAGGCGGAAACAAACCAATTCTCTATCACCAAATTGCTGGAGTAGCAACATGTGGTGTGTCTCTGCAATGAGCTAGTAGTCAGCCTTGAAAAGGAAGCAGGGGCACCTGGGGGATTCGGTCTGTTGAGCATCTCTTTTTTTTTTTTTTTTTTTTTAATTTTTAGCATTTAATTTATTTCTGAGAGAGAGAGACACACACACACACAGCGACAGCATGAGCAGGAGAGGGACAGAATCTGAAACAGGCTCCAGGCTCTGAGCCAGCCGTCAGCACAGAGCCCAATGCGGGGCTTGAACCCACGAACTGTGAGATCGTGACCTGAGTCGAAGTTGGACGCTCAACCGACTGAGCCACCCAGGTGCCCCGAGCATCTGACTCTTGATTTCAGCACAGGTCATGATCCCAGGATCGTGGGATCGAGTCCCACGTCGGGCTCTGCATTGGGCGTGAAGCCCGCTTAAGATTCTCTCCCTCCGCCCCTCTCTCCTGCTCCTACTCTCTTTCACTGTCTCTAAAATTAAAAAAAAAAAAAAAAAAAAGCGGGGGGATGGGGAGCCTGGGTGGCTCAGACAGTTAAACATCCGACTTTGGCTCAGGTCATGATCTCACGGTTCGTGGGTTCGAGCCCCGCGTTGGGCTCTGTGCTGACAGCTCGGAGCCTGGAGCCTGTTTCGGATTCTGTGTCTCCCTCTCTCTCTGCCCCTCTCCAGCTTACACTCAAAGATAAATAAATATTAAAAAACAACAACAACAACTTTTTAATAAAAAATAAATTAGTTTAATTTAAAAAACAAGGTAAGGAAATCCTGGCACATGCTATAACATGGATGTGTCTGGAAGACAGGATGTTCAGTGAAATAAGCCAGACACAAAAAGCAAACTACTGTCTGATTCCACTCAAGAGGGGTCCCTAGAGGCGTCAAATCCACAGAGACAGGAGGGGGATGGCAGGCACCAGGGGCATGGGGACAGGAGGGGAGTCGGTGTTTAACGGGGACAGAGTCTGAGTTGGGGAAGACAGGGACATTCTGGAGATGGAGGGGAGGGCAGCACGACATTGTGTGTGTACCTAACACCACTGAGCTGCACACCTAAAAACTGGCCAAAATGATATATTTTATGTTCTGTGTATTTCACCATAATTTTTTTAAAATGTAGTACATTATCAGAATTTAACTTTAATATTTTTTAAGTGTATTTATTTTTGAGAGAGAGCTAGCATGACAGTGAGTTGGGGAGGGCCAGAGAGAGGGAGACACAGAATCCGAAACAGGCTCTAGGCTCCAAGCTGTCAGTACAGGGCCCGACGCGGGGCTCGAACCCACAGACCGTGGGATCGTGACTTGAGCCAAAGTCGGCCGCTTAAACGACTGAGCCCCCTAGGTGTCCCTCAGTCTCTAAATATCTTAGTACAATTTTTCATGGGGTCCCAGGGAGGGGTATGCCGCCAGGTCTCCTTACATCTGCACCCTCAGTTCATCACGGCCCCAGTGTCGCCCAGCCTGTCCACCTGGACGGCACTCAGCTCTCCAAGAAGTTCATCAGCGACTATCTCTGGAACTTGGTGGACACGGACTGGTAGCCGGGAGCCTCGGGTCCGCATCTGCACACGGGACGAGTCAGCTGTGCCTCAGCGCTGAGAGGGGCTGAAAATTAAATGTTTATACATACGTGAGCTTTGGGCCAGATTTCTTTTTGCCCATGACCTTGCCCTCAGTGGCTGGACTGGCCCTGGCTAGGTGACCACAGAGAACCAACCGGACTTGCAGGCCACAGCTTCACGTCTGTTAAGACACTGCACAGATGGCGCCGTGGGTTACGAGGACAGATCCTGGACCTTTATCACTTGTCATTCGTTCAGGGCACATCCTCGAGTGCTACCATGTGCCCGGAGCTGTGCTAGGTTTTCCAGGCACGGGGACAGGGAATGCCTTCGGCCGACGAAGGAGTCAAGTCAGAGCAGACGCCACCCTTGAGCTAGAGAGGGTCAAGCGTGCTGTGGGACCCTGGCCAGGGAGGGGACAGAGACGGGTGACTTCTGTGCTGGGACCAGAAAGGACAAGGAGTCGATGAGGAAGAGATTCAGGGAGGGGGGTGGGTTGTGTATTGGAGACCGCCGGCTGCATCCCTGATACTGGGCCCCCCTCCCTGCTAAGTGAGGGGTCCCTTTTAGCTTCCTGATCAAAACATTTCCCAGCCTCCCTTGCAGCTAAGTGCTGGCCAATGAAATATAAGTGGAAATGTGTGAGACTTCTAGAAGGATCGCTAAAAGGCAAGGGACGATGCCCTTTCTTTCCCCTCCCCTCTCTGTTGGAATCCGGAAGTGCTGGCTGGAGCCCTGGCAGTTGTGGTGACACGTGTAAGGAGGGATGCGTCCTCTAGGGCTGGTGGGAGCCTGGTTCCCTGATGATGGGGGCTGGGTATCAGCACTGGACTTTCTGTGTGGGGGGGGATGCCCAGAACACGCCAAGGGTTTGGCTGTACGTGTTCACGTAAGCCCTCCTGAGGGTCTTCATGTTCAAGATCGGCAGGGTCTTTTCTGGTATGAGATGGGCGCAGAGCCTCCTGTTTGTACCTTCGGCCCCCCAAGGGCCGGAGACTTGAACTCAACCAGAGTTTTCCCACCGACCTTAGGGCCAGTCATTCTGTGTGGTGCAGGCTGCCCGGGACATCACCGGGCGTCGAGCAGCATTCCGGCCCCCTCCCTCTGGATGCCAGGAGGAAGTCCCCCTCCATCACCACAAACGTGGGGCACACCCGAGGCAGCCCCCCCGCCCTTGCCAGGCATCCACACTGGGTGCTCTGAGTAGCTGCTGTCACCTCAGTGGCATTCCTGCTGACAGTTGTCCTCGGGCTGCTCACCTGTGTGGGGTGGGAGGGTGGTCAGGAGCGCCCCCGAGAGCATGCTAGAATAGACCCAGAGAACATGCTAGAATGGATCCAGCCCAGCTGAGAGCCGTGGGGCAGTTAATCAGACAAACCTGCAGGCTATCAAAGCTTGGCGGCCCAGGAGAGGAAGCAGGTGCTGCGGAAGGGTGGGTTATTCCCCCCCCCCCCCCCGCCCGGGCCTCCCCCCGCCCCTGGGCCAGGCCCTAAAGCCCTCCCAGTGCCTCCTCTCCCTCTGGTTTGTTTGGGGAGGGGGCTGAGGAGGCGTTGGCTGCTTGGAGCTCCGTTTTTCTGAGAGGAAGAAAGTCCCTTCCAGGAGGCCACACGGACCCAGGCTCCGGGTGGCTGGGTACCTCTGTCTCCCCAGGCAGCCCCAGGGACCGGCCGAAGGAGTGAGCGAGTGGGTAAGGAACGCGGCCTGGCGGGCGGGTTCAGGGAGGTGCCGGAGCTCACAGGGGCCTGGAGAGGCCCTGGCCCTCCGCGTGCCTGGGCTCTGACTCACTGCCCAGCGCTGGCTGGATGCCTGCGACAGCCAGCAGGACAGCCCCAGGGCCACAGCCTCCGGTCGGTCGGCACCCCCACCCTCGCCTCCGCCTGTCCTCTCTCTGCAAGCCGCCTGGGCGGCGGGGGTCACCAGCTTGCGGATTCTGGAAGCTGGCGGCGGGCTTGCTGCGTGCTCGGCCCAGCCCAGTCGGTCCTGGGTCCCCAGGACCAGGAAGTGGGGGGGCCAGATCACTGGCCTTGCACCTTTGGAGCTGATGCTTGCCCCCCTTCCTTCTCCTGCACCCCTACCCCCAGGGCCTGCAGGGCCGCTGCAGCACAAACCAGTAAGGAGTATTTATAGTCATTTGCCCCAGGTCACCCCTGGAGCCTGGACCCCCCACCCCACCCCCTCAGTGGGGTTGTAGGGTCCTGGGGGGAGCAGCTTGGCTTTCCAGATGAGAAGCAGCCTCTGCGGTGGTTGCCCCTATTCAAGGTCGAAAGAGGCCAAGCAGGGACTGGAACCCACATCTATGTTGATGGAGCCGTAAGGCTGAGGTTCTGAACTCAATATTGACAGGTGGCTGTGTGTCAAATAGCCGGATGCCCAGCTGACCTGGCTTGTCATCGTGATTCTGGGGAGGGTCCCCAGGGAGATGTCGAGTGAGAGCTAAGGCTGTGAAGTCCCAAGGCTGGCTGCCCCCGAGGGTCCCCACCCGGCATCTTCCTCCAAACCGCCCGGCCAGCCTTGGTCGCCACGGGTGGGTCGTTTCCCCCGGGGCCCCCCACGCCCCATACTGGTGTGAACTGTGGTCAGAGCCGTTCCTAGTTGTAGATGAACGGGGCAGGCGGGCGCATGTGCCCGGGGAGCAGGTGTCTGAGGCCATGGTTGGACCTCAGTTGTCGGGTGTGAAGCTGTGATCTAATCTCCCTGGACTGGCTGGGGACAATTTGGGAAGACCGGCTGCAGGACATCATCATGGTCATGCTTGGGATCTTGGGGACGCTCTGTGTGTGGCCCTCATTGGGCCAGGGTGGTCCCAGGAGCTCCTGGGAGCCTGCCCCACTGACTCAGAAATGTGGACTAGGCATCTGTGACTCACTGGGGCCCCTGTCAGGGACCCACGCTCCAGGGAAAGCCACTGAAGACTTACTGTGTTGTGGATGAGGAAACTGAGGCACAGAGAGGACAAGTTATTTGAATACTTTTTCACAGCCAGCGAATGGCAGATCCAGGGTCTGTGTGCTGAGCTCCAACTTTCAGTTCGTGATAAGCGCTGTTGCTGTTGAGGGAGGCTCTAGAAGGCCCTGGCAAGGGGGGTGGCATTGGAGCCCAGGCTGGAGCCCCCAGGAGGACAAAAGTATGGAGACCGTGATCCAGGCAGAGGGAACAGCAAGTGCGAAAAGGCCTACAAGAACTGGGAGGCCTGAACCTTGAGGCGGGGGGCGAGATCGCAAGGGGCTGGGAGTAGGGAGTGGTTGCTTGATCACGCCGGGCCTGCAGTCCACGGTAAGATCTGGGGACACTTTTCAGATCCAGGCAGGACCCCAGAACTGGTGCTCAGGGAGAGGGAGCCTGACGACAGCCTCTCAACACAGGCCATCTTGCAGTAGCCTTGCGTCTCTAGGGGGCTAGTCTTACTGTGATCCCCAAGCTCCCCCCTCCCTCCCGGGCGCATTGTGGGAGCAGCGGAGGGGGAGGAGGGGAGTAAGCAGAGCAGCTGGGCCATGGGAGGGTGGGGCTCGGGAAGGAGGGAGCCCCTCCACCAAAGGCAGGAAGCAGAGCTGAAACCTGAACTGCCTGGAGGGGCGGCTGGATTGGAGCCAGGAGTCCCCGGGGCCGCCCCGCCCCGGCCCCCACCCCCTCCCCACTCGGCTGCCCTGCGCAGCGGGCGGACGATGATGTGACCGGGCTCGCCCACAGTCTGAGCCCTCAGCCTCTCCTTCATCCGGGAATCCGCTTCCTGGGGGAAGGGACGGGCCGTGACTCCCACAGTGTGTTAGGGGCTGGCAGGGGACGCTGCAGGGGGAGGGCTGTCTGCCCGTCTCCCTCTCCCCTCTCCCTTCTCCCCTCTCCCCCATGGACCTGGGCTCAGCCCCGGAGGCTCCAGCCTGACTCACCACAGGCAGCTGTGGTTTGGGCTGCCAGAGGTGGGGGCGGGGGGCAGCGGAGGACACGGACATGAATCGGGGTATCAAGCTTAGTCCAGCAGCTTCCTCCCCCCCACCACCCCCGTCCTGGCCAGAGCTACTGAGCCCTTAGAGTGAGGGACTGCTGCCCCCCTACCCTGTGCTCGGGGTTGACGAGGCTCTCGCCCCTGCAGAACGCACATGCCCGGGGCGCTGTGGTACCGAGCCTGCAGACCAAGGTGCTGGCAACAGTGCAGTCTTACTTGGGGCCTTCCAATAGGGGACCCCGCTCCGAGCACAGGGAACTCACTCCCTCTACTTGCAGCCCAGTCGGGAAAGGCAAGGGTGGCATTTGGTTCCCCCCACACCCTGCCAGAGCCCTGTGAGCCAAGCCCGGTGACCGGAGCCTCCCCTTTCCCATCTGTAAAATGGGTGCTTGATACTGTCCTCTCCGAGGAGCAGACGAATTAATCCCTAAGAAGGATATGCTCTGATTTGTCATGAGACCCCGGGTCCCACGGGTCTGTATCACATTCAGCGCTGCGGTGGGGACGCCCAGGAAGGATTTTAGTCACTGGTCCTGTTTTAACAGAAAACAAAACAAAAAAAACGGCTGGCCAAAGTCAGATACCAGAAATTTCCATCACCTCTGGCCACTCCCATGTGTGCCCTTGGCCCAGGGGACCCCCTGCCCCAGTGCTGCCACCCCTCCCCCTCGCTGCATCCTCCGGCCACCTCCTGGCCCCTTCCGTTTGCCAAGCCATTTACGCTCATTTGTCCCATTTGCCACGCGGCTGAGCATAGAGTCAGTCAATCAACCAATTATCGAGCGCCCGTGTGCGGGCCCGGACGCTTCCTGTGCGGTCCGTTCAGTTTTCGCCCCCAGAGGCATTTTGGAACCTTCCCAAGACAAAAGGCGGAAGGAAGGAAGGAAGTGCCACCCTGTGGACACAGAAAAGATAACAGTCTGCACCGCTCCCGGTGTTCTTCGGGCATGCGCAGAGCCCCCTGCACGCCGCCGTGAGCATGGGACGTGGGGGATGCGCATTGATTCTAGATTCAGCTGGAGAAACTGAGGCTCTAATGGGTCTAAGGTCACCCATCTCAACCTAGGTGGCCTGACCTTCATCTGGGTCGCCTGCTCCCAGCCTGTTCTCAAGCTCCTCCCCTTTGCCCTCTAAGACTGGGGACCCCATTCGCAAGGTCCTGCTGAGTTCCGCCCAGTGGGGGGCGCTGGTGGTGGGGGGGTGCCCGGTGGAGGGGAGACGCTGACTTTCCCTTTTTTCTGCCTCCTGTGAGGCTCCCACCAGCTTCCCTCCTGGGTTCCAGTAACCCCAGCCCCACCTTGCACTGTTATTTGTGGCTACCTCATTGTTCTGTTTGGTCTTTTATTATTATTTTTTAATTTTTACAATTTATTTATTTTTGAGACAGACACGAAGCATGAGTGGGGAAGGGTCAGAGAGAGAGGGAGACACAGAATCAGAAACAGGCTCCAGGCTCTGAGCTGCCAGCAAAGAACCTGACGCGGGGCTTGAACCCATGAGCTGTGAGATCATGACTTGAGCGGAAGTCGGATGCTTAACTGACTGAGCCACCTATGCGCCCCTGGTCTTTATTTTTAAATTTTAGAGAGAGCCCAAGAGCGCTAGTGGGGTAGGGGGGCAGAGGGAGAGAGAAAAGGAGAGGGGGGGGGGAGAGAGAGAGAGAGAGAGAGAGAGAGAGAGAGAGAGAGAGAGAATCTTAAGCAGGCTCCATGCTCAGCATGGAGCCTGACATGGGACTTGACCTCACCACCCTGGGATCATGACCTGAGTCGAAATCAAGAGTCAGAGGCTCAAAGGACCGAGCCATCCCGGCGCCCTTCTAACTGGTCTTTTAAAAAATTGTCATTTAGTATTATTTAAAATTGTGTTCCAATACACAGAGCATCAAATTTACCATCTTAACCATGTTGACGTGGCCAGTTCAAGTATGTTAACATGGCTGTGCGACCATCCCCACCACGCGTCTCCAGAACTTTCCGCCCTTCTCAAGCTCTGTCCCCATGAGATAACTGCCCAGCCCCTGGCTCCGCCCATCTACTTCCTGTCTCTGTGGATGCGACTCCTCTAGGGATCTGGAATGGAACCCTAATGAGTGTGACATGGCCTCTACTTATGGTTTGGCCCCATTTGATCTGTGATACTTGGTGCCCGGGCTTAAGTTCCATCCATTGACCTGCTGTGTTCCAGACTGTACCCCAGCCGGTCAGTCTTGATTGTGGTCTGACTTGCCATGTTCAGGGACAGGGGCCCTAACTGCCTCCAGGTCCAGACTCTGGTAAAGCCTGGGTGCACAAGAGAATGGGGGTACAGGTGCCTAGACACCCACAACTCTGGCCAAATGTTGCCACAATGGAATTTGAGGGCAGAAGCATCGGAACTCACAATTATCTGGGTTTGTGTTGTGAAATCTGTTGTTTTACGTGTTTTTAAATTTTTATTATTTTTTAATGTTTATTTCTGTGAGAGAGCGCGCGTGAGCATGAGTGGGGGAGGGGCAGAGAGAGGGAAACAGAATTGAAGCAGGTTCCAGGCTCTGAGCTGTGAGCACAGAGCCTGATGCAGGGCTTGAACTCACAGACCGGGAAATCATGATCTGAGCCCAAGTGGGACCTTTAACAGACTGAGCCATCCAGGCGCCCCCCCTCCTGTCTTGTATCTTAGCAACTAACTACATGGGTGTTTAGCCTTTGTCTCCTCTGGTAAGAAAACCTCACACCAAACCTGCCCAGGAGCCCCTGGGTTTGAAGGGAAGCTTCCTTCACAAATCACTGATGTGTTGATTGAGCGAAGTGGGAAGGTTTCAAGCCCCTGACACTCCCCCACCTCGTTTATGCTTCTAGTTTCAGCTCAAATGTCACCTCCTTAGAGAATCCTTCCTGCAACCTCCCTAAAGGAGTCTTCTCCCCGCCAGCCATGTCTCTGCCCCTGTTACCCCGTTTAACGTTCTTCCAGAATATAGTCATTGTTAGTCTCCATGTCCCCTTGAAAGATGTCAGCTCTTTACTGCAGTGGACAAAAAGGACCTAGCTGGTGTCCCAGACGCCCAGTAGATGTAGTTCAATGAAACAAGCACGCAGATTTAGCAAAATCCCAATTCAGGGAAGTGCCCCAGAGCCCGCAGCCTGTCCTGAGCCCTAGGGAATGTTCCCTTTCCAGAACGGCCTCCTGGGAAAGCCCAGCCCCTGTCCCGATGGAAAGGCCCAGACAAGGAGGGGAAGAAGCATTCCACGTTGAGCCAAGTGGTTCATTTAAGAAATTTAATCGACCCCAGGAAGACATCCAGGCTATAAAAACGTTCTATACAGTGGTTGTAAAAAGCACTACCCCCCCCTCCCAAAGCAACATCTATACAACACAGACCCATTTCTCCGGAAGAGCTTCGTGCAAAGCCCACATGAATCATCTTTGTACAAAAATTAGAGGCGTCTCAGAGACAACTCCCCCCCCCCCCACAATGCGGAGCCCCCAGAGGGGCCACAGAGGCAGCAACCAGGGTTTGCAAAAATAAATAGATCTGGTTCATATATATAAGTGACAAATGTCTAACGAATGTACAAAGTGCAAACAGAACAAAAAGCATCCCCCCCCATCTGTACAGCGGCTTATTTACAGGCTTGAGGAGGAGAAAAGGCTTTCACAGTTTCCTACGGAGTAGGGCACAGTGTTGAGTGGTCATGCAGTGGCCCGTGGACATTCCCTGGGCGATGGGAGGCAGGAATCCACAAGAGGCTGGCACTTCTTTCTTTGGTCATGAGTGTGAGGTGTGTGAGCAGCTCAGAAAGTTTGGTTTTGGAAGGTAAAAACAACCAGGCCCAGGGGACGCCTCCCGGGGCTACAAGGAACCACCGTCTTGCGGGAAATCAATGGCTTGGGGGGCGCCTGCGTGGGAACGGACACGAGGTTGATGGTCATGATTGTGACTTTGAAGGGAAGGTCTGGGCTGGGGGGTGGGGATGCCACCGAGATCGCACACTCACCCCCACGGGCCCTCTCCCAGCCAGGACCGAAACCAGTGCAAAATCATAAGAACGTCGCCTTGACACAAGGTATAGCCCTGAACTCAAAAAGTGCAAGGGGTCCTGGATCTGGGGTCCAGACGGCCGCCCTCAGACTGACGGCTGCCCTTGGGCGTTGGCGGCCGCTGCCTTCACGCACCGGGTAATGGGGCCGTGCAGGCACTTAATAAATATTAAGGGCAACGGGGGGTGGGGGGGTGGGCTCAGGCTCTCCCTGGGAGCTGTCTGGTTTCAGGGAATGAGGGGGGGGGCATCGGGAAGGGGCTCAGTGCCCCCCCAGCCCCGGGAGGGCATGAAGCCCACTGGGTAACCCCTAGTTTGATCCAGATCTGGGGGTGGGAGCAGAGCAAAAGCTAACTCCGGCCGTCCGGCAAGGCAGCGGTGAACACATTTACTCCTGAGTTTGGGGGCTTGGGCAGCTACCCAGGAGCCTGTGGGTAGTGCCTGCTCTCGCGGGTTCAAAGCCACGGGCCTCTCTTCCCCCGACCCCCCCCCCCCATCAGTGCCTCAGGAGGGGAGAAGGGAGCAGTCCCTGGGGAGGGGAAAATGTCCCCCCAGCTCATTCGGCCTTCTCTTCTCCCCGCTTCAGCGAGAAAGGAATGGGGGGGGGGACCCCGACGCAAACGTGCTGCGTGCACGCCGTTGGAAGCCCGCTCTGCCTCCCAGAGGAATAAATATATAAAACAGAGCTCTGGCAGGCAGGCCAAGTGGCTGCTGGCGCGCAGGCTGTGCCGCCGGCAGTGCTTTCGGTCACTTCTTTCCGTGCAGGGAACGGGGGGAAGGGTGCGGGGCAGGTCAAGGGTCCCGGGAGAAAGTGTTCTTCCTGCCCGCGACGCGCGGCAGGTTCCGGGGAAGCACAGGACCAGGGGCGGCGGCGGCTCAGGCCACATCGTCCTCCAGGCTGACCATCTGTCTCTGTCAACAGTGAGAAATGGCGGAAGCGATCAGTCCACCGTTCGGTAAACATGGCAAGAGGCCACCTTCGCCTCGCACCCCCCCCCCCAGCCCCCCGCCGCCCCCCAAGCCTGAACCAGCGCTCAGGGTTTCCACCTGGTCTCTGGGCTCCCGGACCTTGGGCTCGGTCTTTCCTCCCACAGCCACGGGAGGGCGCCCGTGAGCAGGGCCCGCCTGTGCTCAGAACCCTCCCTGGCCCCCACCTTCTAAGAGCAAAGCCAGAATCTGCCCTTTGGCCCACAAGGCCTTGCGCCATCTGCCTGCCGTGGTCCCTACCCGTCACTTGGGTCCCTCCTCCACGCCCCTGCCACCCCAGCCTCAGCTCCAGCCACACCAGCCACCTGTGTCCGCAGGCACACAGCCCTCCGGGCCGGCACTCCCTCCCTCCCTCCCAGCCCCCGCTGGCTTTCTTGGGGTCTTTCCTCTGCTGATCCCTGTCGGTCCCCCACCACCAGGGCGACCCGTCCTGAGGACCTCAGCCCCCTGGGCGGGGCCCAGGCAGCGCAGGCCACTCACCGAGGGGTAGGTGTAGCCGTCCTGGCCGCAGCACATGTGCACCTCGTCCTCCGTGGTCTTCTGGTACACGGGGTTGTCAAAGTTGATGCTGTTGATGCTTTTAAGCCGCCAGTTCTTCCAGAGCAGGAAGGTCCCGAAGCCCAGGAGGATGAGCAGCACTGCAGGGGGAGGTGCGGCCGGGTCAGCAGGTGGCCCCGGAGCCCACCACCCAGCTCTGCATCCCCGAGTGAGGCGCCTGCGGACTCCAGGCCTTTAGATTTCTATAGGAGGCTTAAAGCCACCCTTGTTCCCGGGGGGTGGGGGTGTGGGGGGCACATGTCCATATGCAAAACCAACCTCTAGGTCAACACCTGCTGTGCCTGGCTCACCCTGGAAATACCCAGCCGTGGTCGACCCTTCCAGGTGCTTCTGAGTCACCACACGTGGGGCTCTTTCAGAAACGGAATTGTTCTCTATGGATGCGGCCGAACCTCACTCTCTTCTCCCGGCTGGGTGCATTCTGCCTCATTTATGGGGGACCCTGGGGTGGCATGCCCTGCCCCTCCCCGATCCCGGGGACAGCCAAGGGCTCACCCAGCCCAGGTTTGTAAAAGAAAACAAAAACAAAAACAACCCTGGCCAGGGGCCAGGCCAGGCTGAGGCTCTGTTGGGACGCACGGTGGGGGCCTCATTTGGGAGGCGAGGGTCCCGTTATCAACTCAGAGCCAGATGGCCACTGGGCACTAAACTGCAGGTCGCTGTGAGTGGGCTGGGCATGGAAGGGACCCCTCGGAAGGATTTCGAGTGTGACGTTAACAGAGTTATGATGCACGGGGGGGGGGGTGCAGAACACCCCAAACTCCCCCTGCGAGAGCACCGTTCACCAGGAGGTGCCCCTGTGGCAGTGGGAGGCCTTCCCTGCAGCCCCCTATCCCGCAGCTGCCCCAGCGGCAGGCTCGATGTTCGGGAAGTTTCCTTCTGGCACAGCTGTGGCCCCAGGGCCCTGAAGCGGGCACGCGACAGGTTGTGAATGAATGAAGCCAGAAAGGGGGCCGCAGTGATGAACAGGGCATGTGTGTGGGGGGCACCCCAACCCTCGGATACAGGGGGACCGGACCCGCGCGCTGGGCAGGGCGACCCCTGCGTGGAGCCGGCAGGTGGGGCCAGGCCCGAGGGACTTACCAACGGGGAGGATGATGGACAGGGCCCCCGGGCCCCTCGGCTTCTCCTCGTCTCCTCTGCTGGCCGCGTCGCCCAGGGCTGCACAGGACGGAGAGGGGGAGAGAGTGAGGCTTGGATCCGCGGGGAGGGCCACAGAAAACACGGCGGGCGTGCAACACCCGCACCGAAAACGCCTGATGCTTCTCACAGGAACTCGGGACGACTCCTGGGTTGGTGGCACCACGCCGGGGCCTTATTAGCAGACACGGTTTGGGGACCCGGGGAGGATTTAAGGGGCCCATTAGCCAAGCGTTACGAGGCTCTGGGAAAGGCGACAATGGTCTTGGAGACAAAAGCCCGCAGGTACAACCCCAGTAGTTGGTGAGGGCACCGGTGGAATTTTTCACCCAGGGGCTGCGTTGGACGGAAAGGAGACGGTCCTGGGCAGGCTGGCGGCCACCTTGTGGCTCCGTACCTGTCAGCACCCCCAGGGCCCAGCTGGATGGCGCCAAAGCACCTGAGTCCCGTCTCCACTGTCCCCACTTAATATTGGGAGAGACCTCGTCACACAACCAGGTATGTGGACCCGAGCCCTGTAAGGGCCCCGTGCAGATCAAAGTTTAAAGTCCTCCGAACAGGCTGGGACGGCTGAAAAGCCACACCTAGGCCACCTGGGGGTCAGTTATCAGTTCAAGTCAAGCCCACCTGAGTGCCTGGAGTTTCTACTTCTTTGACATTTGCTCACAGTTAAGAAAACTTGTACCACAAATAATTTAAGGCGGGTGCCCAGATGGCTCAGTGGGTTAAGCGTCTTACTCTTTTATTATTTTTTTTAATGTATTTTGAGAGACAGAGTGAGCAGGGGAAGGGCAGAGAGAGAGGGAGACACAGAATCTGAAGCAGGCTCCAGGCTCTGAGATAACGCGGGGCTCAAACCCACAAACCGTGAGATCATGGACCTGAGCTGAAGTCGGACACTTAACCGACTGAGCCACCCAGGCGCCCCTAAGCGTCTTACTCTTGATCTTGGCTCTGAGGGTCATGATCTCATGGTTCATGAGAAGGAGCACAGAGCCTGCCTGGGATTCTCTCTCTCTCTCTCTTTCTCTGCTCCTCCCCCTCCCTCAAAGTGGGGAAAAAAAAAAAAAAAAAAAAGGCAGCAGCAAGGTCTTTGAGAAGTTTTTCCCTTAAAAGGACTCATTCACCAGAATCGAGAAGCCATGGATGGGCTTGTCTATGAGATTGTTTATTATTTTTTTATGTTTATTTTTGAGAGAGAGAGAGTGAGCAGAGGGAGGGGCCGGGGGGAGAGGGGAGACACAATACAAAGCAGGCTCCAGGCTCTGAGACCGATGTGGGGCTCGAACTCACAAGAACTGTGAACCCACGACGTAGGCCAAAGAGCCACCCAGGCACCCCCGTGAAATGGGTTTTCAAGCAGTGGGAACCCCAGGTAGAAAGGTTTCCTGGCCTCCCTTGAGCACAGCAGTCCCCACTTTACCTTGTTTAATATCGAACACAGGCTTTAGCTACTCTGAGTTGGGGGGTAAAACGCCTGAACCCTGCTGATGCGTCCCTTTTCTATGAGCTCCATTTTCTAGCTGATCAAACTCTGGGACAGGTGCCCTCTGGTGGCCAAAGGATGAATGGCGAGTCTTCCATTAGTTCACTGAGAGCCCAGCTCTGACCTTGAGAAAGGGCGAGGGTGAGGAGAGGGAGGCACTAGCCACAAGCAAAAACGTGGAGCCTCCCCCCTACCTCCCGCCAAAAAGACTTTAGTAATCCAGTAATATCATAATGTGTTTTTCAATAAAAATTAAGGCCAAGACGCCATGACAAAGTTTCACAACTTTAGGAAGATAGGATCTGAATCTACATTTGCCTCTTTGAGACCCTGGCTCTGACCAAACTATTGTTACAAGACCAGGTGTTTGGCCCATGGCCCATAGTTTGGGGATTTTATTATTTTTTTAATAATGCAGTTGGGCGCCTGGGTGGCTCAGTCGGTTAAGTGTCTGACTGTGGATCAGGTCATGATCTCACGGTTCGTAGGTTCGAGCTTTGCATTGGGCTCTCTGTTGTGAGCTCAGAACCTGCTTTGGATCCTCGGTCTCTCCCTCTTTCTGCCCCTCCCCTACTTATTCTCAAAAATAAACATTAGGAAAAAAAAAAAGAAAAAGGTGCCTGGGTGGCCCAGTCAGTTAAGTGTCCAACTTCGGCTCAGGTCATGATCTCACAGTTCGCAGGTTCGAGCCCCGAGTCGGGCTCTGTGCTCACAGCTCAGGGCCTGGAGCCTGCTTCAGATTCTGTGTCTCCCCCTCTCTCTGACCGTCCCCTGCTCATGCTCCACTGTGCACGCTCTCTCTCCCAAAAATAAACAAAAAAATAATATAGTAAAATATTATTTATGTCCTGGGTTTTTGGTACCTGCCCTCAGATGGTACCCTTAGGAGTGCCTCATGGCCTCGCCCTGGCCCTGCTGGGCAGGGGCTTGAAAACATGTCATCACATGGACCTTGATAACATTTCAGGTCCCTGGGTCGCTGCGCCCGGAGGACTCTGCGATAAGCCACCACCACGCACCCAAAGCCTCCACATGCCTTAGGCCATTGAATCCCCATGGGCCGTGTCAGAAAGCCCAGGGGTGCAGGCGAGGCCCACTCCATCCCTTCACCAAGACTCCCTCGGCCTCGGAAGGGGCCCATCGGGGTTTTCGAGCTGTAAACCAGGGCCCGGGGCAGTCCCGACAGACATCTACCTGGGTGGGACATGGTCACCGTCTCCGCCGTGGTGAACTCGGGGCTGGCCACGGACCACGGGCTGGCTGTGCGCTTTGGCTCCACGGCGGGAGAGCGCGCAGTCGTCCTCACGGCTGGGGAGCGCGCCGTTGGCCTGACCGTGACCCTGGAGGTGCCCCGGGGGGTCGCTGCAGCTTCCGTCTCTGAAAGAAGAAACCTCTCCTGAGTGCCCCGCTGTTAACGGTGCCACTCGTGACAACGGAGAGGAAGCACGGGCCGGCGGCCACCAAGAACCGACTAAAGATAAATGCAGTGAAGACTGAAACCCACTACGCACTATGTTGTTATTACGTCATTTGTTGTGCTTCAAAAGGGAGATTCACGGGGGTTACGGACATACTGGCCCCAAACTGAGGTTTCCCCGGAGGATGAGAAAAATCGAAAAAGGGGTCGTCTCCCCACTCGATGTCTGTGTCTGATATCAGTCACCTCCCAAGGGGCCCAGGAAAGCGGGAACTAGATGTCTAAGGTGAAGGGCATCTGTCTATACGCACGACACAGGGCCCAGGCGCCCAGCATTTGACAAAAAGCAAACTCTGGCTACCCCTCGCCAGGGCCTCCTGGAGCCTCCCTCTCCCATTTGACAGACAAGCAGAGGACGAGGAAGGTAATTAGCAGGACCAAGCCGCAAGGGTGGCGGGAGCCGGCGGCCCTACCTACGAGGCAGCTCTTCATGTCCGTGGCCAGCACCACGTGGTCCGGGCAGGCGCAGGTGAACTTGGGCGAGTGTGGGTTGATCTGTGGCGCCGGGAGACACAGGTACTGGCAGCCACCATTGCGGAGGGCGGTCCTCTCACACCAGTTCACCCCTGGGGCAGGGAGTTCGGGTGAGAACAAGGTTAGAAGGTTCTAGAAAATTTCAGAAATACCGGCGGGGAAGAGGAGGGGGGAGGTGGCAGCCATCCTGTCTTTACCTCTTGGCTGCGTGAGGTTGTGGAAAAGGACAATGTCCTCCGGGGACAACAGGTTTTCAGCCACCAGATTAATGTCGGAGCCCGTGAGGCGGTTCGCACTGAAAATGGCTTCATTGATGATGTCCGTCCAAAATACTTTATCCTGTGAGGGCATGAAGCGAGAGGGCAAGTCCCATTACCACGGGCAGAGGACACCCGAATCCAAGTTTTGGGCGCCTGGCTGGCTCAGGTCATGATCCCAGTTTATGGGTTCAAGCTCCGCATCGGGCTCCGTGCTGACAGCCCAGAGCCTGGAGCCTGCTTCAGATTCTGTGTCTCCTCTCTCTGCCCCTCCACTGCTCTGTCTCTTTCTCAAAAATAAAAAAATTTTTAACTAAAAACAAAAAAGGTTTAAGTGTGTAAAATACACAGAACATAAAATTGACCATCTTAACCCGTTTCAGTTGTGTTGAGTGGCATTAAGCACATTCACATGGTCGTGCAGCCCTTCCCCCCATCCATGCCCAGAACCTTCTCGTCTTCCCGAACTGAGACTCTGTCCCCATGAAACACTGACTCCCCATGCCCTCCCCCAGCCCCTGACCCCCACCACCTACTTCCTGTCTCTATGGATGGGACTCCTCTATGGACCTCATATAAGTGGAATCCTACAGAGGCGCCTGGGTGGCTCAGTCAGTTAAGCGTCCAACTTCAGCTCAGGTCATGATCTCATGGTTTGTGGGTTCAAGCCCCGCGTCAGGCTCTGTGCTGACAGCTAGCTCAGAGCCTGGAGCCTGCTTCAGATTCTGTGTTTCCCCCTCTCTCTGACCCTCCCCTGCTCATGTTCTCTCTCTCTCAGAAATAAAAACATAAAAATTTTTTTAGGGGCGCCTGGGTGGCTCAGCCGGTTGAGCGTCCGACTTCGGCTCAGGTCATGATCTCACAGTTCATGGGTTTGAGCCCCACATCAGGCTCTGTGCTGACAGCTCAGAGCCTGGAGCCTGTTTCGGATTCTGTGTATCCCTCTCTCTCTGACCCTCCCCTGCTCATGCTGTCTGTCTGTCTCTCTCTCAGAAATAAAACACTTAAAAATTTAAAAAAAAATTTTTTTAAAAGCGTCTGACTCCTGATATCAGTTCAGGTCGTGATCTCACGGTTCATGAGTTCCAGCCCCACATCAGAGAGAGGCCCGAGGCTGCCTCGGATTCTGTCTCCCTCTCGCTCTGCCCCTCCTTCGCTCGCTCACATGCACAGCACGCTCCCTCTCAAAATAAACAAACTTAAAAAGAATGTTAAAAAAAAAAAAAAAAAAGGTGGAATTCTACACTATCTGTCCTTTTGTGTCTGGCTCAGTTCCCCCAAGGCTCGTCCGTGTTGGAGAACTTGTTAGAATTTCCTTCCTTTTTCAGGCTGAACCACATTCCAGCGTGTAGATACACATCTCATTTAGCCGATCCCCCCCCCCCCCCCCAGGATGGACACTCAGGTCACGCCACCTCTGGGCTGTTGTGAATCCTGCTGCCTTAACACGGGTGTACGGACAGAGCAACATTCCCTCAGAGCCGATCTGTGCTGAGGCGCCACTTGGGCCAGGGAACCCACTGCCGCTGGCCCCCTCTTCTCTTGGCAGGGAGCTTGTCAGCTTCTCCCCACCGGGAACTAGTAACCCCCCCTTTGAGCGCCACAACCAAAAAGTTTCCAGAAAGTGCCAAATGTCCCCTGGGCAGCAAGATGGCCTCCAAGTGGTAACTCCTACTTTAAGGCTCTTTTGGTGAGGACGTGCCCAGCGGGCTCAGTTGGGAGAGTGTGCGACTCTTGATCTCAGAGTTGTGATTTCGAGCCCCACACTGGGGAAAGTTTACTTAAAAAATTTAAAAAAAAAGGGAGGGGGCGTCTGGGTGGCTCTAGTCGGTTATGTGGCCGACTTCGGCGTAGGTCACGATCTTGTGGTTTGTGAGTTTGAACCCTGCGTCGGGCTCTGGATTGGCAGCTCAGAGCCTGGAGCCTGCTTCAGATTCTGTGTCTCCCTCTCTCTCTGCCCTCCTCTGCTCATGCTCTGTCTCTCAAAAATAAATAAATGTTAAAAATTTTTTTTTTAAAAAGAGAAGAAGAAGAAAAAACAAAAACATCCTGGAGCCCCTGGTTGGCTCAGTTGGTTAAGCGTCTGACTGTTGATTTCAGCTCAGGTCATGATCTCACAGTTTACGGGATCGAGCCCTGCGTCAGGCTCTGTCCTGACAGCTCGGAGCCTGCTTGAGATTCTCTCTCAACTGCTCTTTCTGTGCATCATCCACTTGTGACCTCTTCAGTCTCGAAGTAAAAATTAACATTAAAAAAACTTAAAAAACCAACAACTCTTGGGCTCTTTTGATGAGAAGGAACTGCAAATAATTCCAGCTCTAAGACCTTTTACAGCCACAGACGGTTTGCTAAGCTGGCCCTGGCTTGAGTGAACTTGATGACGTGGGCTGACCCATTAGCATGAGCGCTTATGTCGCCTCCTTAAGTCGTGCTCGGTAACCAGGACTCGGCTGTGAGGTCCCTGGAGCCCCGGGGGAGCGACCACCTGCTCCCAACCCCCACCTCAAAGATGGCCAAGGAGAAGGGGTGTGCCAGCTTCTTCTCATCCTCCAAAATGGTCTTCCGGTTTCCCCCGTTGACATCAATGCTGGAGATGGAGTGGAGCTTGGAGTCAACCCAGTAGAGGCGGCCACCAGAAAGATCTAGAACCCACAGTGGACAAGAAGAGGTCACATGCCGAGGCCCATGGGGCCAGGGCCTGGCCACTCCACTACCGGCAGGAAGGAGCCCCCAGGAACCCGGCAGAGATGTGCCCAGAAAAGCAGCCCCAACAGCCCCGCTCCATGTAGAAGCTGAAACCCCATGCTGGGGCGGTGTAGACCCCAGAGACCACGGTCCCAAGGACATACCCAGGGTGATGCCATTGGGCCACTGGATGTCCTCTGTCACTAGCGAGTGCACGTCGACACCATTTAGACCTCCCTTCTTGATCTCGGCGGGGGTTCCCCAATCTGTCCAGTACATGAAGCTGGTGAGAGATCAGCAAGAATGGGAGGTAGTCAGTGGGGGGTGGGGGGCTCCCAGCGTGCCCCAAAGGGCGGCCTTCAGCTGGAGCAGCAGGCCAGGAGCTGAGAAGCCCCTCCAGAGACCTCTCAGGCTGGCTTTTTAAAAAAAATTTTTTTTAATGTTTTATTTATTTCTAGGAGAGAGAAAGAGAAAGCGAGACAGCGTGAGCAGGGGAGGGTCAAAGAGAGGGAGTCACAGACTCTGAAACAGGCTCCAGGCTCTGAGCTGGCAGTCAGCACAGAGCCCGACGCGGGGCTCGAACCCACAAACCGCGAGATCATGACCTAAGCGAAAGTCAGCCGCCTAACTGACTTAGCCACCCAGGCGCCCCATCTCAGGCTGGCTTCTTCCGCCACCCTGGCACCTGCCATGTGGGGAGAACTGGCAGGAGTTTAGAGAGAAACAGAACAGAGAGATTTTGATTCCAACGTCAGGACCACGACCCTTAATGTGCACCCTAAACAGTGCTTTCTGAAGGCTTTGCTTTATTTTTAATTTTGTAATTGTTTTTTGCTTTAAAACGATGTTTTTAATTGTGACAAAACATGCATGACAAACCACCGTGACCATTTTTAAGTATCCAGATCAATGGTGTTAAGTACACGTAAACTGTCAGGCATCCATCCCCACCACCCAGCTCCGGAACTTTCTCATCTTCCTGAACTGAAACTCTGATCCCCTTAAAACACAGACTCTTCCTTCACCTCCCCCAGCCCCTGGCGCCCCCCCCCCCCCGCCACTGGGCATTCCTGCTCTGTGAATGAGACTCCTCTAGGGACCCCCTAGAAGTGGAATCTCACAGAATGTGTTCTTTTGTGTCTGGCTTCTTGCACTGAGCAGAACACCCCAAAAGTTTGTTCGTGGTGTAGAACCTCCTTTGTTTTTGAGACTAAGATGCCATTGTGGGCACGGACATTTAGGTTCTCCTTCATCCACCCAGGGACCCTGGGGGGGGGGGTCCTGGGGGGGGGGCTCCTGTACCCTGGCGGCTGTGAACGCGGGGCTACAAATCCCTGTTCACACGGCTGCATTCGCCGCTTTTCCAGCTACACCCAGAAGCGGATCTCTGATGGCTTTCGAGCTCTGAAGAGGCTCAAACTAGCTCCCAAGTGGCCAAACGTACCAGCAGCCCCCTCCCATCATGACGGGCAAGCGTGAAACGCTGCTGGCACCAGCGAGGGAAAGAAGCCCTCAGGTGCGCCTCTGGACGGAGGGTCAGTTTCACAATCCACGTGCGGAATGACAATTTGCTGCTGCGCTATCTGTGCCTGGACCCCCGGCCCTAGTCATCCAGCTTCCGGAATGAGGAATCTAGAATCTACAGTCCCGTGGGTGAACTGCAGTGACTCACATTCAAAGGTATCTGCAGCCTCCTCGTGGGAGGTAAGGGGGGAAATAAGTCGATTTCCATGCTCTGGGTACAAGGAAATCACGGCTCATCGAGTCAACAGGGAATGAATCCCAGACGCCAAACCAAAGGGCCAGGTGAATGTCGTGTGATCGTGTACTATGGGGGGGGGGGGCAAGGGGGGGAAGAACATGAGAGCAGACCGCACGCCCACACCCACACCCCAGGACTTGTGCCTAAGGGGTTTCTTCTGGGACTTTCCCTCTTTCCTGAAGGCTGCGGGAATAAGGTCGCTCAGCAGAATGGCCCTCCACCAAGTGAGAACATAGGTTTTGTTCAACTGGGACCCAGGCCCACCTGCACCCCAGGGTCTGTCCTGTCGGATTTGTGCTTTTCTCCAAAGTTCCCCTTTCCCTTGGTTATTGCAACCGGGGCAGGGCTACCCTTCCAGAATTGTGCAATTCCCCAGGCAGCGCGTGTGGTGCAAGAGCGCCCGGGGCGGGGACACGGGTCTCCCAGAGGGGCCCCGGAGCTGCTGAGTCAGCCGTGGGGCCTGCAAACACCCACCGTCCTGGGGTGCCCAGGCGTGGTGACCTTCACTCCCTGTGACGTCCTCCCCCACACTACCATTGGACCGGAGTGTTCTGACCTTTCTTATCCGGGCACAGGATACGTGGCCATAAAATACCAAATCAGGATTTAAAGATGTATTCATTGCGAATACTATTTTCAAAAAATCCATGTGTTGGGGCGCCTGGGTGGCTCAGTCAGTTAAGCATCCGACTCTTGGTTTTGGCTCAGGTCCTGATCTCAGGAGTTCAAGCCCCCGCATCGGGCTCTCTCTGCCCCTCTCTGCTCACAGTCTGTCTCCCTCAAAATAAGTAAATAAGAAAAAAATCCACATTTGAACTTCCGGTTCAGGGGTTCTCGTCCTGAGGACACAGCTTTCCAGAGTCCACAAGGGCCACGGCAGGACCTCAAGAGGGATCGACCCCTGAATCCCAAAAGGTGGGTGGGGAAGGGTGACCATTCAAAGTCCTGCTGTTCTCCGAGAGCGGGAGCCACCGTGGCTGGGGACAGCCCCCAGACCGCGGAGGCCAGCCCAGCTCAGGCACACGCCTCTAACCCCCCTCGCCCCCCATCAGAAGCCAGTTCTTGAACCCCGCTTGTGCCCTCCGTTCCCTCGGTGCCCCTTGGCTTTGGGAATACCCACCCGTGAGCGGGGTCCACCACAATGGCACGGGGCTTGGAGCCTTTCTCCTTGAAGAGCGTCTTCCTCTTCGCTCCCTTGGTGTCGGCCACGGAGACGGTGCCCAGGACCGAGTCTGTCCAGTAGATGTTGCTGTGGATCCAGTCCACCGCCAGCCCGTCGGGGGCCTGCAGGTCCTCGCCGATGACGGTGTCGTAGGAGAGGCCGGGGGCTCTGTCGATCTGAGTGCTAAGAGTGAGGGGCAGGGGGAGGGGAGCATCAGTGTGCGCCCCAACCCCACCCCACCCCCGGACTGTGTCAGCTGGAGTCGGGTGCTGAGTGCGGCTCCAAGGCTCACCTGTAGATCTTCCTTTGGGACAGGTCGGACCAGTAGATTCTGTTGCTGGCCACCTCGGTGTCCAGGGCGACCACGTTCTTCAAGTTCGGGATGAGGCTGGTGTATTCGCTGCGGTCCAAGGTCATCTTCCTCACCTCGTGGCGGTTGGTGAAGAAGAGGTAGGCAATGGTGCCTAGGAACACAGGAGGGACGCTCAGGGGAGCAGAAGGGACCCCCTGAGTCCCGCCTGTCACGCCCTTTGGGGTGTGGCTGAACCAGAGCAAGACACCCCATATGGGGTGGAAAAGGCCCCCCCCCCCCACCAAGGGTATTAACCACGTGCTTCCAATGCCCTGACGTCCTGGGCCTTGCAGAGCAGAAGGGGCGGCCCCTCTCAGGGCCAGCTGGCTCCTAGGGACGGTCCACAACTCGCCTCAAGTGCAAAGGAGCCAGCTCGTAGCCGCCACCCCCTCTATGGGGCTCTTACACTCTGAGCCACTGTCCACCCGCCTGCCGGGATTACCCTGGGGCAGACCCCACGAGCAGCGCCGAGGCCCCGGAGTCTGCTGGGACTGTCTAGCCAGTCGTGGGCCGGCTCACCCGGCCTCACCTCATTCCCGAGGAGACCACAATAGAGGCTCGAGACCACACACGCCACATGTGGCCCCCGTGGCTGCCATGCCCCCTCCTCTGGGTAACTGAGTGACAATCCATCTTGTCAGTGGGGGGCACCTCCTGATCTGCTGGCCTCATCGTGCTTGAGCGATGATAAAACCTACATCTGAAAACACTGGGTCCCGTGCCTGGGTGACGCAGTCAGATAAGCATCTTACTCTGGCTCAGGTCACGATCTCACAGTGCGTGAGTTCAAGCCCGGCATCGGGCTCCGTGGGGACAGTGCAGAGACTAGAGCCTGCTTGGGATCAGCTCACTCTCTCTCTCTGCCCCTCCCCGGCTCATGCTCTTTCAAAATAAACAAAAAAAATAAAACAAAACACTGGGTCCTCCACATTTTACATTTTGGAACATAAATACAAAGAAATGGTAACCGCTAATGTGTACCCAGGGACCCCTTAGGGCAGGAAATTCTCAGTGTTGTTCGGACCGCGTTCTCCATCATTGGTCCTCACACTCCTAGGAGGCCAGGGTGTCATTGAACTCCCTTTATACAGAAGGGGATCGGAGCTCAGAGAGGGGAAGCGACTAGCCCAAGGTCACACCAGCTAGTAAATGGCAGAGCTGGGGCTCGAATCCAGGTCGCTCCGACTCTGGGGGCTGTGCTATAACCATGACACTGACATTCACCAATGAGCTGACCATGTGCATGACAGACCTCACTCAGGATACCCCTCCCCCAACACCACGCGTACACCTGCGTAGGATCCGTCTACACACTCGCCCCTACAGGCTGGAATGAAAGGAATATCTCAAATCCTAGAGGGTTTTACGATCTGTCCCCAGTTTTCCCCAGAACCGGGAAATGCACGGGGGCGTGACAAAGGGAGGCCAAGGAACCGTCACAAAGGGGAGGACAGTGGGAGAAAAACTTCGAGGCAAAAACAGATCCTTGAGGAAACAGAAGATGATCGAAAATGTTTCTGCAAAGGGTGCCTGGGGGGCTCAGTCAGTTGAGTGTCCGACTCTGGATTTTGACTCAGGTCATGATCCCAGGCTTATGGGATCGAGCCCCGTTGTCGGGCTCTACACTGAGTGTGGAGCCCGCTTAAGATTCTCTCTCTCCAGGGGCGCCAGGGTGGCTGGGATCAGTTAAGCGTCTGACTTCGGCTCAGGTCATGACCTCACGGTTTGTGGGTTCGAGCCCCGCGTCGGGCTCTGTGCTGACAGCCAGCTCAGAGCCTGGAGCCTGCTTCAGATTCCGTGCCTCCCTCTCTCTCGGACCCTCCCCTGCTCACGCTGTCTCTCTCTCTCTCTCTCTCTCTCTCTCCCCCTCTCCCTCTCTCAGAAATAAATAAAACATTAAAAAAATTTTTTTAAACATTAAAAAATTAAAAAATAAATAAAAATAAAAACTAAAAGAACAGCTAGAGAGGGTGCAGGCCCTTCACAGGACCATGGCTTTTCACCTCTTGCCCCGCGAAGCCAGCCAGCCCCACCAACCATTCCCTCGGCAATTGACCCGCGTCCCCAGAGAAGCCGGACCTGTGTGGGCAGCCTCCCAGTAAGTTCCTAACTGGGCTGCTTGTCCCTCTGCCAGTCCCTCGAGCACACAGCCTGCCCCCAGGGTCTTTGGGGCACAAGCAAAGGTTGCATGATGAAACCCGCGCCCCCACCATCGGCTCCCTCGCCGGCCCCGCCCCCGGCTCACCCACAGCCTTGCAGGCCTTGGTGAGGGGGTCCAGCCGGAATCCCTTCTCACACTCGCACTTGTAGCTGCCCTCGAGGTTTATGCAGAGCTGGCTGCACGCGTCGGGATCCTGACACTCATCGATATCTGCAAGCCGGGACACAGAAAAGGGCTTGGGGTGCTGATGGAGGGAGGGGCTCCCACCGAAAGCCATCCCTCCCAGGGGCGTCCTGGCAACCATTGGGTGCAGAAAAGAACACATCAAAATAGCCAGGTGTCATCTCCAGCAGTGACCCTGACCTCCCCGTTCGCCTCAGGGGTGCAGCCAACAGGGTGAAGGCTCAGTCAACCGAGGTTTCTTTTTTAATTATTAATCCCCGAAGGCAAGGACAGAGTGTGCCTCAGGGGCCAAGCCCGTGCTAGACGGCCCCTCATCAAATCCTCCCAGCAGGCCCGTGAGGTCAGGCCTGCTTCTGTGCCCACTTAACGGATGGGGAAACCGAGGCACAGAGGGTTTGGCCACCCCGAGGGGCGGCTCGGGAATCACCTTCGCATCTCCGCTGGTCCACCAGCCGGAAGCCCTCGGGGCACAAGCACTCATAGCCGATCTTGAGGTCGTTGCAGATGTGGGAGCAGCCGCCTCTGTCTTCCAGGCACTCGTTGGTCTCTGCGACAGGAGGGACAGACGGGTCACGCTCAGGGCGTCACCCTCCCTGCGCGGGGTCATCGGCCTTATCGTGGTCCCCACAGTGATGTGGAGGCCAGTGAACTACCAAGTCTCTTAAGAGGACTTAAAATAAGCACTGTCACGTCCAAAGCCACGGATGAGCCTGGAAGATGTTCCACTGAGTGAAATACACCAGGAGCAAATGGACAAATCTTGGAGGATTCACTCCTAGGAGGCCCTTAGTGGAGTCAAACTCAGAGACAGGACGTAGACGGTGAGGGCTGGGGGGTGGGGGAGGGGGCCGGGGAGTCAGTGCTTCACAGGCACAGAGGCTCACTTTAGGAAGATGAGAAAGTTCTGGAGACGGATGGTGGGGATGGCTGCAGCTGCATGCGAATGTACTTAACACTGCTGACCTTTATGCAGACACCAGTTAAGGAGGTAAATCTTATGCTATTTTTTTGGTAACCCACATTTCAAAACGTTCTTGATTCTGAAAAATGAAAACTGCGATCCACAGTCGTGTACGTGAACTCCTGACAGCCCGATAGGTAGCTCAGCGACAGCTGTGGACGCTGAGGCACGGCCAGGCTAATGACGTGCCCGAGATCACAGTGCTGGACCGGACTCAGGGTGCTTAAGCGCCAGCAGCCAACCCGGGAGCTCCTTACAGGGCTTCGGTCAAACCTGACCCACCACATCTGTTCTTGCCCGAATGCTGTGGATGGTTTTTACGCTTTTGAATGGTTGAAAAGAAAAAGAAGAATCCAAAGAAAACCCGTGTTTGTGCCACATCAAAGGTCTATGAAATTCAAGCATCGGTGTCCATAAGATTTTCCTACAGCACAGCCACATGCATCCCCATGCGCATGCGTACACGGTTTTCCTGCCCCATTGAAGAGCTGCCACAGACCTTACAGCCGGTAAAGTCCAAAATATTTCCGTAGCTCTCGTTCGCAGAGCACTGCGAAACGTGACAAGCGGCCCCTCAGCCGCCCCCTAGCAAGGGATGTGAACTGTTTCTGTCCCGTCCCACGGATGTGAACACAGGCTCGTGAGCAAAGCCACTCAACCCCAGGGATTTTCATGTGCACGCTGCCCCGGGGGCTGAAGTGCTCACGGGCACCAGCTGGCAGGAACCTCGGAGCCGTCTGGGCCCCGCCCCCGGCCGCCCACAAGTTCAAGAGCCGCCCTACACCCCGGGGCTCACCACACTCCTTCAGAGGCTCGTCAGACCAGTCTCGACAGTCCCGGGCCGAGTTGCACACTTTGTCCAGGGTGATGCATTCGCCGCTGTGGCACTTGAACTTGTTGGGCCCCTCGCACAGCGTCACTACGAGACAGAGGAAGTGGGGGAGGAGTCAGGTGCTTCTGAGCAGCCAGAGCCCGCTCACTCCTCTTTAAAAACATGATGGTTCATTTATACAGACTGTATGAACATGTATTTATAAATAAGACACAATGTGATTAGCATCACAGAAATAAACCCTTTAAACAGGGTGAAGATGGCAAAATTTGTTATATGTAGATGACCACAATTTTTGTTATTTACTTGAGAGAAAGAGCATGCGTGCACGTGAGTGGGGGAAGAGGGAGAAGGAGACAGAAAATCCGAAGCAGGCTCCAAACTGGTAGTGGGGAGCTCAATGTGAGGTTTGAACTCCCGAACCGTGAGATCATGACCTGAAGTCATATGCTTAACCCACGTGAGCCACCCAGGCGCCACTACCACAGTTTTTAAAAAATGCATTATCAGAATTTAACTTCTTGTTCACAAAAGTTTGTTTCAGTCTCTCAGTATTGTAACTTAAAATATTTATGTTTTTATTTTTTTGATCAAGACTTAAGATCAAGAATCGGACCCTTAACTGACTGCGCCAAGAAGGTGCCCGGATAAAAAATGTTTTAAAAAGAACATTCTTGCGGGGTGTCCGGGTGGTAGAGTCGATTAAGCCTTCCACCCTTGGTTTCAGCTCATGTTTGTGAATTCAATCCCTGCATTAGGCTCTGTGCTGATGGTGTAAACCTGCTTGGGATTCGGTCTCTCCTTCTGTCTGCCCCTCCCCTGCTTGTGCGTGCACACGCACTCTCCTTCTCTCAAGACAAATACACAGGGGTGCCTGAGTGGCTCAGTTGGTTAAGTGTCCGACTTCGGCTCAGGTCATGATCTCGTGGTTCATGGGTTCGAGCCCCGCATCCGGTTCTGTGCTGACAGCTCAGCGCCTGGAGCCTGTCTTCGGATTCTGTGTCTCCCTCTCTCTCTGACCCTCCCCTGCTCACAGTCTCTCTGACTCTCAAAAATAAACATTTAAATTTTTTTTTTTAAATAAACACACTTAAAAAAAAACCCCACTAGCATCCTTGTGTTACATGTATTTTACCACAATTAAAATAATTTTTTAAATTAATTCCGCTGACGAACACCTGGGTTGCTTCTACCGTTTCGCCGTCAGGCCAGTGGTGCTCTTGGTGATCCTGAGCCCATCGCCGATTACGGGGGCAAGTTTCTCCTGGGGTCATTCGCAGGAGAGGGACCCCCCCACTGTGAGCTCAGGAAAGTACTTGACCTAGAACTGGACCATGTTACCCCTGCGCTCAGAGACAGGAGCTCTGCCCACTTCAACCTCGTTAAGTCTCACAGTCCTGAGGTTGGTGATTTCATAACATACATTTTTTGGGGTTAAATGGAAGCGAGGTTCAGGGAGGTCGAGTAACTTGCCCGAGGATGCACAGCACGCATGGGGCTGACACGAGAGGAGCTCACCATTGATGCAGCCAAGCTCATCGCTCATGTCCTTACAGTCATACTCCCGGTCGCACTGCCGGCTGCCATGGATACAGGTCCCGTCCGAGCACTGGAACTCGTCAGGCCGGCATGTGGCCACAGCTGGGAAAGACAGGGCGCGCGTTGGTTTTTCTCAAGGGAACAGCGGAGACAAACTACCACCTTTATTTTTATTTATTTTATTATTTTTTTAAATGTTTATTTAAAAAAAAATTTTTTTTTTTAATGTTTTATTTATTTCTAGGAGAGAGAGAGAGAGAGAGACAGTGCGAGCAGGGGAGGGTCAGAGAGAGAGGGAGTCACAGACTGAAACAGGCTCCAGGCTCCGAGCTGGCAGTCAGCACAGAGCCCGACGCGGGGCTCGAACCCACGAACCGCGAGATCATGACCTAAGCGAAAGTCGCACGCTTAACTGACTAAGCCACCCAGGCGCCCCATAAATGTTTGTTTATCTGTGAAGGAGAGAGAGACAGAGCACGAACAGGGGAAGAGCAGAGAGAGAGGGAGACACAGAATCCGAAGCAGCCTCCAGGCTCTGAGCTGTCAGCACAGAGCCCAACATGGGGCTCGAACCCACAAACTGTGAGATCATGACCTGAGCTGAAGTCGGATGCATAATCGACTGAGCCCCCCAGGCACCCCCTAACTACCACCTTTAAAACAGTGATTTCCTGGCTGCCTCAGGCATCAGAGACAGGCTGTAACGGGAAAGATATCAGGTGAAAAAAACACACTCTACCACCTCCCTGGCCAGAGACAACAGTGCCTCATCTGTTTTACCTGCTTCTTACCCCAGATACAACCTGTCTGCATCTTCAAAATTTTAGCCAACGTAGATTTATTTCTTTGTTTAAAAAATTTCAATAACTGTTTATAAAGTTTATTTATCTTAAGAAAGAGCGAGCAAGCAGGGTAAGGGAAGAGAGAGAGGAAGAGAAAGAATCCTTAACAGAGACTCCATGCTGTTACCATGGAGCCCGACGCAAGGCTCGAACTCACAAACCCGTGAGTGTGACCTGAGCCAAGATCAAGAGTCAGACGCTTAACCAGCTGAGCCCCCAGGTGCTCTGCCAACGTAGTTTTATTTATTTTTGTATTTTTTAAATGTTTTTATTTATTTCTGAGAGAGAGAGACAAGCGTGAGCAGGGGAGGGTCAGAGAGAGAAGGAGACACAAAATCTGAAGCAGACTCCAGGCTCTGAGCTGTCAGCACAGAGCTCGATGCGGGACTCGAACCCACAAACTGTGAGATCATGACCTGAGCCAAAGTCGGACGCTCAACCGACTGAGCCACCCAGACACCCCTCTGCCAACAATGTTTAAGAATTTCTTTCATGGCAGCAAATACTCTTTTCCTCAACAAAGAAGAATCCTCGAAAATTATTACTGAAGTCATAGAGCAACGTTTGGAAAAGAGGTGCTCAGCTGGTGGGTTTTCTGGGAGATCTCTCTATGCTTTCCATCTACACATTTTTTCAGAACACAGAATTGTTTTTTTACACTTTTATCTTTAAGTCATCTCAACACCCAACGTGGGGCTCGAACTCACAACCTGAGATCAAGAGGCTCACACTGCCAGCTGAACCAGCCAGGCGCCCCGAGAACACGTGATCTGTGACATAGCTGGCAAGGCCAACCAGCCGCTCTCAGAAAAGCAACGGCCTGATCCCAGTCCAGACAGAGGCGGGGCCGAATTATGCGACCAGCACCACCTAGTGCAATACCGTCTATCACTGTGAAACAGCACAAACGTTTACAAGAAGCCATGCGGGGAGAAAAGACGAATTTTTTGTACTCACAAAGGAGTAACACACCGGTGACTCCGCCTTTGTGGGCCTCAGTTTCCCCATCTGTCAAGAGTGGGGGAAGCCTGCTCACAAGTGATGAGAATTCAGTAAGCCTGTGTTAAGTTTGAGCACAGGGGCGCCTGGGTGGCTCAGGGAGTTGGGCGTCCAACTTCGGCTCAGGTCATATCACGGTTTGTGGGTTCAAGCCCCGCATCGGGCTCTGTGCTGACAGCTCAGAGCCTGGAGCCTGTTTCAGATTCTGTGTCTCCCTCTCTCTCTGACCCTCCCCTGCTCACGCTGTCTCTGTCTGTCTCTTTCTCAGAAATAAAAAAATTAAAAAAAAGAACAAACATTTGTACAAAGTCATCCATTATTTAAAAAATGTGACTTTTAGGGGCACCAAAGTGGCACAGTCGGTTAAGTGTCCAACTCTTGATTTCAGCTCAGGTCATGATTTCGCAGTTCATGAGATCAAGCCCTGTGCTGGGCTCTGCACGGTCAGCATGGAGTCTGCTTGGGATTCATTCTCATTCTCTCTCTCTCTCTCTCTCTCTCTCTCTGCCCCTCCTCTGATGGTGCTCCAGCTCTCTCTCAAAAATAAACATTAAAAAATAAATAAATAAATAAAAATGTGACATTTAGGGGCACCTGGAGAGCTCAGTCAGAATAGCATGTGACTCTTGAACTTGGGGTCACAAGTTTGAACTCTCCGTTGGGGGCAGAGGTTACTTAAAAAAAATAAACAGAAGGGGAGCTTGGGTGGCTCCGTTGGTTAAGCATCCTGCTCTTGGTTTCTGCTCAGGTCATGATTTCATGGTATGTGAGATCGAGCCCCGAGTCAGGTTCTGTGCTGACAGTGAGGAACCTGCTCGGGATTCTCTTTTTCACTCTCACCCTGCCCCTCCCTCCCTCAAAATAAATAAATAAAATTTAAAATACTTAAAATTATTTTAATATTTATTTTGAGGGAGAGAGAGAGAGAGACAGAGCGTGAACAGGGGAGGGGCAGAGAGAGGGAGACACAGAATCGTAGCAGGCTCCCTGCTCTGAACTGTCAGCAGAGCTTGATGCGGGACTCGAACTCATGAACTGCAAGATCATGACCTGAGCCGAAGTCAGATGCTTAACCGACTAAGCCACCCAGGCGCCCCTTAAAATAATTTAAAAATGTTAAAGCAACTTTTTAAAAGCCTAATTACACCTCCCCAGAGATGACCAGTGGGGAGAGCACACCTGAGCAAAGATACGCAAGACATCGGCACAGGAAAGCCTGTTCTGGACCCGCAGTGGCGCTACCTCGTGAGCTTTGGGACGCCGTCCACCCCACCCCCCGTTCAGGAAGCACGGACGCAGGGCCCGGGCCACACGCCCTTCATCTACAAGGTCTGTGACACAGGAGCCGCTCACCACGTGTGGCTACTGAACTCTCAATTCTTTAAAGTAAAGTAAAACATAAAAACTCCACCCTGGTCACATAGGCTCCACTGGGAGGCAGGGGGTTCTGTGGGCGGTGTAGACCCGGACGGCCCGCCATCACAGAAAGTTCTATCGGGTGGCGCTGGACTCCCACCGAAGCCTGCCAAGTCCAGTGCCCTTGCCCCAATCTACGGGCGGGGGGGAAACACAGCGCAGGGAGGCTGAGTCCCTGGCCAAGGGTCACACAGCTCGTGGGCCACCAGCCAGGCCTGGAGCCCAGGATCCTTTCGGGACCAAAATAATACTGCAACACGCAACCTGCTCCCCTTGTAGGAAAAAGAGCTTAACGATACAGGTGTTAAAGACAAAGTCTCCTGGGCACCTGGGGGGGCTCAGTCGGTTAGGCGTCCAACCTTGGCTCAGGTCATGATCTCACGGTTCGTGGGTTCGAACCCCGCATTAGGCTCTGTGCTGACTGCCAGCTCAGAGCCTGGAGCCTGCTTCAGATTCTGTGTCTCCCTCTCTCTCTGCCCCTCCCCTACTTGCGCTCGGTCTCTCTCCCTCAAACAAACATTAAAAATTAAAAAAAAAAAAAAAGTCCCCTGGGGTGCCTGGGTGGCTCCGTCAGTTAAGCATCCGACCCTTGATCTCTGCTTTGGCCACAACCTAGAGGTTTCTGAGTTCGAACCCTGTGCAGCCTGTTCGGGATTCTCTCTCCTGCTTTCTCTCTGCCCCTCCCCCACCCCTTGCAAAATGAATAAACTTAAAAAATTAAAAAGACAAGAGTCTCCTTTTAGGGGCGCTCTCTCCTCCATGTGATCAGTAACACTGGAAAAAACATGAAACGAGATGGACTTTCTTGCTGTGTGATTCGAAATTGCATAACCACCGAACGGCCCGCCCGTCCCACGGCGGGGGGGGGGGGGGGAAGGGGGGACACAGGGACAGGTCAGAGGACCCCCGCCGCGACAGCGCCCCTACCGCAATTCTCCTCATCGGACTTGTCCTTGCAGTCAGGGCCGCCGTCACAGCGCCAGCTCGAGTGGATGCACTCGCCGCTGCGGCAGTGAAACTCCAGCGCCGCGCAAGGGTTGTCGTCCCCTTGGGTGGCTGTCGCGGTGCGGTCCCCGCAGCGCTGCGGCCACTCGTCGGAGCCATCCTTGCAGTCCGGGTCGCTGTCACACGCCCACAGCTGGGGGATGCAGGCCGAGTCGTTGCACTGGAAGTTGGCGGGGCCGCAGGTGGGCGTGGGGCAGGCCGCCTCGTCGGAGCCGTCTAAGCAGTCGCGGTCCGAATCACAGACAAACTCGAGCGAGATGCATTTCCCGTCCTGGCAGCGGAACTCATCCTCGGCACACGTCTTGGGCGCTGCAGGGGAGGGGGAGACAACCGGGTCACCTGAGAGCCTCACCTCCCCATCAGCAGCAAGCAGCCCATTCCACAGAGGAGGACACTGAGGCCTGCAGGGGCCACGCCCCTGTCTCATCCAGGCGGCCACTGATAAGGGTCAGACCTTCATTTCCAAAGTAAATGTATGTGCTGGCTCAGTCGGTGGAGCGTGGGACTCTGGATCTCAGGGTTTTAAGTCTGAACCCCATGCTGGGGGCTAGAGATTATTTAAGAAATTTTTTTTAATGTTTATTTTTTGAGAGAGAGACAGAGCACAAGTGGGGGAGAGGCAGAACGAGAGAGGGAGACACAGAACCTGAAACAGGCTCCAGGCTCTGAGGTGTCAGCACAGAGCCCGATGCGGGGCTCGAACCCACGAACCGCGAGATCACGACCTAAGCCGAAATTGGACACTCAACCCACTGAGCCATCCAGGCGCCCTAAAAAATAAAATCTTTAATAAGAAGTACATGTATGTGAACACTCACATATTGCCTTTTTAAAAAAAATATCATGGATGTTGATATTTTCTCAACTTGGAGATCTGACACTATCTTCGTTATTCACATTTTTCCCAGTTATTTTCCTCACAGCCTTACTCGATTAAAAAATAACAACAAAGGGCACCTGGGTGACTCCATCCGTTAGACCTCTCTGACTCTTGATTTCGGCTGAGGTCGTGATCGTAGGCCGAGCCACCCAGGAGCCCCAAAATGATACAGTTTAGTCACTAACCCCCTAACATGAAAGAGGCAGGACAGGGGCGCCTGGGTGGCTTAGTCGGTTAAGCGTCCGACTTTCGCTTAGGTCATGATCTCGCGGTTCGTGGGTTCGAGCCCCGCGTCGGGCTCTGTGCTGACTGCCCGCTCAGATCCTGGAGCCTGTTTCAGTCTGTGACTCCCTCTCTCTCTGACCCTCCCCTGCTCACACTGTCTCTCTCTCTCTCTCTCCTAGAAATAAATAAAAAAAAAAAAGAAGAAAAAAGAAAGAGGTAGGACAGACACCCAGCTCTCTGAAGTGCGCACCCCCCCCACCCCGTTTCCTGGCAGACCCTCAACTTGGTGAAGCTTTTTTCCTCATGGTCAGCGGTCAGCGGGGTGATCCCGTCTCCGCCAGGGGGGCTTACTGTGCGCTCCGCCCCCCAGGGTAGCTGGCAGGGGTCACCGGCTGGGGGAGACACCTTACAAGTACAGCCTCACCGAGTGTGCAGAGGACCCTACGGCGCGGAGGGGGCGGCCAGGGGAGGGAGCACACTTACGACAGCCTTGCTCGTCGGAGCCATTCTCGCAGTCCACCTGGCCGTCGCATCTCCAGAACTGAGGGATGCAGCGGTTGACACGGCCCCCGCAGCTGAAGTCCCCTGACTTGCAGGTGACAGACACTGCGGGACGAACGGGATTCAGCCTTCACTCTAAGGGAAGCCCGATCTGCCTCACCAGCCCCCGCTTTGCAGAGGAAAAAAAGCGCAAGGTTTCACAAAGAGGGTGCCGCGCCCACCTTTCTGGGTCAAAATGAAGGGCACGGTTAAAAAAAACCTCAGACGTGGAGTGATGGACAGGTTTGGAAGGAGACAGAGGTGGTGGCTGTACAGGGTTGTGACTGTATCACTACTACTGAACTGGTCAGTTTCAAAATGGTTAATTTTATCTTATGTAAATTTCACCTCCTTTTTTTTTTTTTTTTTTTTTTTAAGTTGTTAAAGTTTAAGTTCCAGAAATATCTCTTCTTCCAAGTCCCAATTCATGGTTGAACACATCCATCTGCGGACTGATTTCCACATCCTCTGTCACCAAATAAGGCAGGAAGCGTGTCACTAGCAAAGGGGACTCACTACAGGTCTCTTCAGACTCGTCGGAGGCATCCAGGCACTCAGCTCTCCCGTCACAGACCCACTTGTAGGAAATGCACTTCCCATCTTGGCATTGGAACTCGTTTCTGCCACATGTGTCCCCCACTGAGAGAGAAGGGGAGAGAAAGGATCATTCGGTGCCAGAACCAGAAACTGACAGCCACCTGTTTGTGTCTATTTCCTGCCGGTTGAAGAATGAACCAGAAATAGCATCCAATCCTTCCCAGGAAACAGAACACACAACAAACCTCACAAACCAAAAGTGTAGCAGGGGATGCAAAGAAGAGATCTAGAAGGGCGACCTGCCAACAATGTGTAACACTTGACATAATGACGGATCCAGGAAGGTTGGGGGAAAAGTCCTTCCCCGCCCATGAATAAAGAAAATAATTTAGCATATTACAAACCTGTGTTGGAAACAGTAATGAGAAAAATTGACACTGTGAAATCATTAAGCTGAAGGAAAAATGAGGGGCCTTCACTTGTAGGTAGGGAGGAAATAAATTTTAAAAAAACATTAAAAATTTTTTAAAAAGTATTGGGGTACCTGGGTGGCTTAGTCGGTTGAACACCTGACTCTATTGCAGCTTAGGTTATGATCCCAGGTTTGGGGGACAGGGCTCCACACTGAGTATGGAGCCTGCTTGATGCCCCCCAACCCCCCTCACATGCTCTCTAAATGAATAATAGAGGGGGCGCCTCGGTGGCTCGGTTAAGCATCTGACTTCAGCTCAGGTCATGATCTCACAGTCCATGGGTTCGAGCCCCGCGCTGGGCTCTGTGTTGACAGCTCAGAGCCTGGAGCCTGCTTCAGATTCTGTGTTGCCTTCTTTCTCTGCCCCTCCCCCGCTCACACTCTCTCAAAAATAACTATTTTTAAAAAATTAAAATAAATCTTATTCATGATGGTTTCCTACTTAGATTTAAAGTCTCAAGTCACGTGGCACAGTTAGGGCAGGTTTTTTTGTTTTAAAGACTTTTAAGTAATCTCTACACCCAACGTGGGGCTCAAACCCACAACCCCGAGATCAAGAGTCACATGCTCTACTTACTCAGTCAGCCAAGCACCCCACCCCAACGCTGGGTTAATCATTAGCAGTCAGGCACATGAAGCCACATCTCAAATAGTGTTCTTGGGAACTTATTTGTATTTACTTTGCCTGACTTTCCATCATATCTGATTAGAAAGTGTATTTTTTTTTTAATGTTTATTTTTGAGAGAGACAGAGACAGAGGGTGAGTGGGGGAGGGGCAGAGAGAGAGAGGGAGACGCAGAATCCGAAGTAGGCTCCAGGCTCTGAGCTAGCTGTCAGCACAGAGCCCGGCGTGGGGCTCGAACCCATGGACTGTGAGATCATGACCTTAGTTGAAGTTGGACACTTAAGACTGAGCCACCCAGGCGCCTTGTATTTTGTTAACTTCGGGGTGGGGGGGGGGAACAAGGTCTAGAATAGCTTGTAATAGTTCAATATAGTCCTTTCTTTTTTTTTTTGAGAAACAGAATCTTATCTGTGCTTCTGCATAGGGAATAGTGGCCAGTTCACTTGAGTCATTTTTCTTCAAGGAATGCTTTATTTTGTAGATTTTTTTTTAAAGGTAAGAAAAATTATTAAGCAAAATAATCGCAATGCCAGTCACTCTATACGCCTGGCTTTAGTGCTAGTTACTCCAGGTCTCTAGCTTTCCCGAGTGCCTTCTGTTGGCTTTGGTCATTTCAATGGAAGTAGACAAGCCCAGAGATCTCCAGGCCCCCCTTGAACATTTTGGCCAGGCTTGAACCCAATCTTGAACCTGGCCTGAGGGCTCTGGGGGTCAGGGACTTTGGGACCCAGTTTAAAAAGCCACCTTCCGGGGCACCTGGGTGGCTTAGTCGGTTGAGCGTCCGACTTTCGCTTAGGTCATGATCTCACGGTTCGTGGGTTCGAGCCCCGCATCGGGCTCTGTGCTGACTGCCAGCTCAGAGCCTGGAGCCTGTTTCAGAATCTGTATCTCCCTCTCTCTCTGACCCTCCCCTGCTCACGCTGTCTCTCTCTCTCTCTCTCCTAGAAATAAAAATATTAAAAAAAAAAAAAGCCACCTTCTGGGGCACGTAGGTGGCTCATTTGGCTAACCATCAGGCTTCGGCTCAGGTCACGATCCCACAGTTTGTGAGTTCGAGCCCCGTGCCAGGCTCTGTGCAGACAGTGTGGAGCCTGCTTGGGATTCTCTCTCCCTTTCCCCGTTTGTTCTCTCTCTCTCTTAAAATAAGTAAACATTAAAAAAAACCCAAGTAAATAAAATTTGGGGGGCACCTGGTGCCTTAGTCAGTTAAGCGTCGGACCTTGGCTTAGACCATGATCTAACAGTTCAGGAGTTTGAGCCCCACGTCACGCTCTGTGCTGACAGCTCAGAGCCTGGCGCCTGCTTTGGATTCTGTGTCTCCCTCTCTCTCTGCCCCTCCACGGTCTCTCTCTTTCCCTCCCTCTCTGCCTCTCAAAACTAAACATTAAAAAAAATTTTTTTTAATAATAAATAAAATTTGGGACGCCTGGGGGACTCAGTCGGTTAAGCGTCTGACTTCGGATCAGGTCATGATCCCACGGTTCGTGGGTTCGAACCCCGCATCGGGCTGTATGCTGACAGCTAGCTCAGAGCCTGGAGCCTGCTTCGGATCTTGTGTCTCCCTCTCTCTCTGACCCTCCCCTGCGTGCGCTGTCTCTCTCAGAAATAAATAAAAACATTAAAAATTTTTTAAAAATAAATCAATAAAATTTTACAAATAAATAAACAACAAGCCACCAAACTCTGGGTCTTCAAAGTTCAAGTTCAGTGCTCCTACCAGAGGTTAGGAAACCAGTCAGGTGATACCAGGAGAGCATTGAGGGTGGCGTGGAAAGGAGAATACAGGTGATGGCAATAGAGAAATAGAAGAAGCGCTTAGAAGAGTCAAAGAACCTGGTCACTGAATTATAAGGAGGTCAGGGGCCATGTGGAGAGCCCCCACGTGCCAAGGAGAACGAGTAGAAGAGAGAAAGTGAAAGAGAAGGGAATGCCTTGAGCTTTGGAATCTGCTGTGGTCCCACATTCTGAGCATCGAATTGCTCTCTCGGACCAGCCTCTGCAGGACGCCCTACACAGCACTGACTCACAGCCGAATCGCAGCTGTGCTGAAAACGGGATATGACTCACTTCTCGAGAGGCTGCTGGCACACGGGGTGGGGAAAAGAGTCATTGGAATTCCAGGACTCAGAAAAAAATTCACAAGGAAGTTCAGGCCAAGGGCACTCACAATAAGGATCCTGGAGGAGAAGTTTCTGTCACTCCCCTCCTCCCCTAGGGGCTCACAACTTCCATTACCGCTAATCCCCTGCTCTGGCCTCCAACCTTTGCACAAAGCCCTATTTTACCCACAGAAGGTGCCACTGGAAATAGTAAGAGCATTGCTAGTGGGGACAGGGATTAGGAGCAGTGGGCACCGAGTGACGGCCCATCCGAGGGGTGTCCCCACAGCAGACAACACCATCCTGAGCAAGGGGACGGAACGGTCCGATTTAAAGCGCCATCACCCCCAAGAAACCACAGTGCCTTATGGTTGCACAATGAAAGTTTGGTTTTCCTGATCGGTTTCATCTGATTTCAGTAAAAGCAAACTGGAACACCCCACCCAGATCTCCTCTCTGCTGGGGTTACACAAGAGCCACCCACACCCACACCCCTGCCGGACCCCCCCCCTCCATCCCCCACGCTCAAGTCTCCAAATAGCCTTTAAATCTGCCCTGTCACCAGTGACAAGCCAGATGCAAGGTTATCGAAACAGAAAAGGAGAATACACATTTCTGCTTTTTCGCCAGCACACAAATGAGGTGGTCAAATGCTTTCGATGTTTTCTTTCCCAGGCTACAGAAGATGGTTGTTCGGGGAAACTAAACATACAAACAGAACCATTTCCTTGAAATAAACAAACAAATAAATGGCCGGAGCTAACAGGCTCAGCTGAAAATGAACAAGAAATCAATTTCTCAGGGCTCTTTTCCCAACTAGACATTTTCCTCGGGGCAGGGGTGATCCTGATGCAAGGTTTTGCTGTCAGCAACTCCGGGGACTGGGTTCCATGATCGTTCACTGCTGGGAAGTTCCACAGTGTCTTAGCAACAAATGTCACCTGCTCGACAGCCCGGTAAAGTGTGGAGTCTATTAATGTACTTAACACGGACTGTGAAGGGCTATCAAAGCACTGAACAACACAGGTGTCTGGAATGGGATCTTATCAGGGAAGGAACCCCACAGGTAAGAGCAGGGATATCCTGGAAAGACAGAATGAGCCACCTAATTCCCCTTGAAGCTTTGCAGTCTCAAAAAAGCTCTTTTTTGGGGCACCTGGGTGGCTCAGTCGGTTAAGCGTCCGACTTCGGCTTAGGTCATGATCTCATGGTTCGTGGGTTCGAGCCCCGCGTCGGGTTCTGTGCTGACAGCTAGCTCAGACCCTGGAGCCTGCTTCGGATTCTGTCTCCCTCTCTCTCTGATCCTCACCTGCTCACTCAGTCTCTCTCTCTCTCTCTCAGAAATAAACATTAAAAAAACCCCTCTTTTTGCCAGTGGTGGCCAGGAAGAAAAGCATGCCAGAGAGTGACCAAGGAATCCCATCCCCACCCCCAGGCATGCTGCTAAAGCAGAGACAACTCTTAGGACGCTCTATTTCTCTGAATCTCTATTTCTCTGAATTGGGGTGTGCCCTGGGCATACTTGATCCTCTGCAGACAGCTGCTAACTGCTTTTGACCCAGCTACGGGAAGACATGTGGTTTGGATGCCAGCACCTTCCATCTCCAGGGGAACGGGTCAAGAAATTCCATCCCCTTCCACCTCCCCACAAATGCTTTAAATTTAAAGGCAGCTAGGGAGCAAGCTGGGACAAAACAGGGCTGCCGCAACTACACACCAGAGGACAGAAGGAGCTGCTGGCCCTCGGGAGTCTACGCATCGGGACTCAGAGCCTCCTGGAGAACACAGGCTACATCAGATCCTCGGACCACGCGTCACAGAGAAAAATAAATAAGCAACCCTCTTGCTCAAGACTTCAGTGCCACCATTTCCTCTTAGGGATGAGGTCCATCAAGCATTTGGAACAGCTCACACCAAGCGCCTCTTGACGAGCCAGTCCCTCCTCTTCACCCAGCTGGGTGGCAGAGTGATCTCAATACTCCCCAGCTATATGGCAGCACCCTCCCTTCCTGGCCTCTCAGCGAAAACTTCTGTGTCAAGGGTTGGAATCCCAGGAGTTCAAGGCGCCCCAACGCGAAGCCACCACCCATCCCCGTCAATGAAAAGCTTCCGGAAATCCCTTTATTAGGCAATTACAATTCTCTCATGGGCTGCTCCGGTTCTGCAGGAAAAGAACCCAGGGCGAGGTCGGGCGCTTCCGGCAGCTCATTTAAGGCCAATGGAAAACTCGAGGATTGCGCACCAACTAGTCTCTTCGCTAAATTTAAATCTGAAGCCTCCTAAAAGGAAAAATCGCCTAGCCCCCTTCAGGGCTTCTAAACAAACAGGGCCACCCTAAGGGATCCATCCAAGGTTGGGGCCTCCCGATCCCAGCCCCGGCGGAAGGTCTCCGCTCCCGACCGAAGAGGGGCGGGCGTGTCTGAGGCAACGGTTTGATCAGGGAAGGAAGCTTGGCCCTGAGGGTAGCCTGGGGGGCACGGATGTGAACTCGACCCGGGCCGGGGCAGCGAGGGCAGACGGCATGGGCTCGGGCCCGGATCTCGAAGGAAACCTTGGGCTTCGCGAACGCTGCCCAGGAGCGCCGTGGGCACCTTGCCCATGCTCATGGAGGCGACTCCGGAGGCCCGGGACGGGTCGCCTTCGCGACAGGAGCCCTGGACGGACGCGAGGGAACTCCTTCGGTCGCATCCCGAGACCAGGTGCTCCGCGTTGCCCAAACCGCGCCTCGAGCCCCGCCCCGCCCCGCCCGCGTCCCAACCCCGCCCAGCGCGACCCTCCGCATCCACCGGCTCCCATTGGCCAAGGGGAGTGGCTCGAGGCTCGCCTGTTCCCATCGCGCCCAATGGGAGCGTGGGGACTGGCCCCCGGAGCCGGAGGCGGGGCTGGAGGCGGTGACCACGCGCAGAACGCCGCGTGCAGCGCCCGCGAGGAAAGCTCTGCAGCGGGCTCCGCGGTCCAGCGGCGCCCTAGCGCAGGACGAAGCTGCCTGGGGCGCCTGGGGGGGACTCTTGTCCGCGGGGGGGCGCGACGATGAGCCTGCAGGGACCCCCCCCTCCCCGGGCTTCTGCTAGCTCTCGCCCTAGAACAGCCCGATGGGGGGGTCCCTGCCTCCCTAGGGGTGGAGAGCCCCATGTCCCGGGCTGAGGAAGACAAGGGGGGGTCTCCCTTCAATCGGAGACTTGTGGCGAAAAGCTCACCCCGCTTCTCATGACTCCCCCACATCCCCAAACCCTCGCAACCCTCAGCGCTCCATCCAGCGGTTTGGAATGAACTTAATGGCATTTCCCCACAAGTCCTAAAGGACGCGGGAGTTTTTCGCATCCTCCCCCCCAAATCACCAGGGAGCTCCCCAAGTTCTAGGGGCCACCTCACCGCACGCGGGCGCCTGGAGCCAGCCTTACCTGCAGTCCCCACGGCTGCGAGGAACAGGGCGGCGGCCCAGCTCAGCCCCCAGCTCGCGGGCCTCATGCTCCCAGGTTCCGCCCGTAAAGCGCCGGCCCGAGTCTCGGTCCGCAAAGTCCGCGCAGGGAACCCGGGCTCCGCGCGGCCGGACAGCGACTGCCTGCGGGGCCCCAGTCATTTGCAGCATTTCAATGCGAGTTTCCTTGCAGGGGGAGGAGTTTGCAGTGGGGTGATTTTCGAATAACTACACCTCACTGCGGGAGGAGGAGTTTCGAGAGGAGGAGTTTCGGATGGCCGAAGTCACCAGGGCTGTTAACCCGTGAAGCCCTGAGTCGGGTTCCAGTCTTTTCCAATCCCCGCTCCCGGATCACCTTATAGGCTGATGACCATCCCTCTCTGTGGCTCCAAAGTTAAAAAACGGGACTTCTTTACCCTCGCTTTTCTCCACTTACCTTTTCCTTTCTAGGAATCGTATATAGAGTTTCACAGAGTTGTCTTCAAACCTGAAGTCTGAACACTAACTAGTGAGGGGTTTAAAATAAAATCTTCACAAAAGTACAGCCCCACAACGGATCTTGTTTTGTGAGATCCAGGGTTTGGATCGATATGGGCAAAAACATCTCTTAAATCATGGATCCAATCAGAGTCTGGACATGAATATTGATTTATTCTCTTGGGAGAAGGACTGGACCAGACTGCTTCCTCTCCCCAAAACAAAACAGCTTGCGGAGTTGAGCCTGATTGCCTTAATCACAGAGGGCTGATGGAGAGCAGCTTGTAAGAATCAAGAGCCTCAGGGTGCTTGGGTGGCTCACTCCCTTGCGTGTCCGACTTCTGCTCAGGTCATGATCTCCAGGTTTGTGGGTTCGAGCCCTGTGTCCAGCTCTGTGTGGACAGTTCAGAGCCTGGAGCCTGTTTCGGACTCTGTGTCTCCCTCCCTCTCTCTGCCCTACCCGGCTCGCTTTCTGTTTCTCTCAAATATAAATAAACATTAAAATAATAATAATAAAAATAATCAAGAGTCTCTCTTGAGATTCATGAGATGCCAGCAGCCCCTGGCCAAAAAGGTGCATGTGAGACTGAACCCCATTAAGGGTCTGGCAGTCTTGGAGGGGGAGTGAGCAGAATTCTCTGGGGTTTTGCAAATTGAGCCTGCGAGGGCGAGGGGGGGTGGACTCACCTCTCAGCAGGCTTATGGGGAACCCATGGGAGGCGGCAGAAAGGGGACGATTGAACCCTCAGAGGGAAAAGGGGTGATTAAACCAGAGTAAGAAAGAGCAGTTTGGAGCTCAGCTTGGGAATCAGACAGACCCTGCCTGAGTAAATGAGCTTTTCCAACGTGGAAAGGAGGGGAAAGCGCATGTGGGTCCCTTCCGTGGCAGGTTCCGTGCGGGTGGGGGTGGGGGGACAATTGAGATAATTAGCAATCACCTGGGAAAAGTTGTACGGCTGGGCAGGTTCTGGGAGTTTTGGTCACGTTTATGAACTGCACCATCAAATTCCATTCCTAAGACCACGTGCTACTTTTTTTTGTCAAATAAATAAAACTAGGTTTTCTTTCCCTTATTCATCTGGGTGGTCGAAGGCCCTTTCTCCCCAGCAGGGCTGGAAACATTTACCAGGAAGGAGCTCTCTTCTGGGAAGGGACTTGGCTTAAGACACCTTCAAAGCTAGTTCTACGTAGCGGTAAGGTCAGGCCTGGAAAAGGGCCAGAAAAGCTCTATAAAGGACATTTCCAGGGTGCCTAGGCTGGACAAGGTCTCCCTTTAACCTGCCCGTGGAAATCGTGAGGCCCTTTCTGTCCCTGCCACACATGGCCATGGTCATATATTGCCTTAAGGATGCAGTCATGCTGGGGGGCCTGGGGGGCTCAGCTGGTTGAGCGTCTGACTTCAGCTCAGGTCATGATCTCACGGTTCATGGGTTCGAGCCCCGCGTCGGGCTCTGTGCTGACAGCTCAGAGCCTGGAGCCTATTCCAGATTCTCTGTCTCCCTCTCTCTCTGCCCCTCCCTTGCTCAAGCTCTCTGGCTCTCAAAAATAAATAAATGTAAAAAATTAAAAAAAAAAGGGATGCAGTCATGCTGTTTAACTTCTTTGTTTCTACTTACCGGAGCTTCCATTCCCAACTAGCTCATAGCGTTGTTGTGATAATTAAGTAAATTAATAATACATAGATGTACAAAGTGATTGGAGCCACTCTTGGCACATAATAAGCACCATATATGGATTTGTTTTTTTTCCTACTATGTTGTAACTACATCATTTTTCCTTCTTCTCTTTTTCCCTCCCCTCCCCTCCCCCCCTCCCTTCCCCTTCCCTCCCCTCCCCTTCCCTTCCCTTCAGGGAAGGGTAATCAAAACCATATGGTGTTGGGGCGCCTGGGTGGCTCAGTTGATTAAATGTCTGACTCTTGATCTTGGCTCAGGTCATGATCTCATGGTTCATGAGTTCAAGCCCCGCATCAGGCTCAGCACTAACAGTGCAGAGCCTGTTTGAGATTCTCTCTCCCTTTCTCTCTGCCCCTCCCTTGCTTGTGCTATCGCAAAATAAAGAAATAAACTTAAAAAACAAAAACAAAAACAGCATGTAAAGACAGACCAATGGACTAAGACGCAAAATAAACCACGCACGTCTGGTCAAATGATTTTTCATAAGGATGCCAAGACCATTCAATAAGGTAAGGCCGTCTTTTCAATAAATGGTATTGGGAAAACTAGATAGCCGTGTGCCTAATAATGAAGCTGGACACTTCTTTCTTTCCCCACATACAAAAATGAACTCAAACTGGTGCAAAGATATAAAAGAAGGAGCTAAAACTATAAAATGATTAGAAGAAAAAAATAAGGGTAAACTTTCATGCCAGTGGACTTGGCAATGAGCTCATGGTCATAACACCAAAAACACAGGCATTAAAAGAAGAAATAAGGAAGGCGGGCTGCAGAAAAATAAAAAACGACCTGCATCAAGGACACTCCCAACAAAACAATGAAAAGACAACCTAGGGAATGGGAGCAAATCTTTTGCACGTTCTACATCTGATAAGGGTATAGCATCCAAAATATGTAAAGACCCCCTACAATTCATCAACAAAACAGCCCGATTAAAAAATCAGCAAAAGGGGGCACTGGGTGGCTCAGTCGGCTAGGCATCTAACTTTGGCTCAGTTCACAATCTCACAGATCGTGAGTTCGAGCCCTGCATCGGGCTCTCTGCTATCGGCGGAGAGCCCACTTGGGATCCTCTGTCTTACTCTCTCTGCCCCTCCCTTGCTCGTGCCCTCTCTCCCTCTCTCAAAAATAAATAAAGGTTGAAAAAAATGAGCAAAGGACTTGAATACACATTTCTCCAAAGAAGATATAAAAATGGCCAATAAGAGCATGAAAAGACGCTCATTACTTATCCCTGGGGAAATGCAAATCAAAATGACATATTTCACATCCATTAAGATGGCTATTATAAAGACTTAAGGGCCACCTGGGTCGCTCAGTCAGTTAAGTGTCTGACTTTGGCTTAGGTTATGATCTCACGGTTCATGAGTTCGAGCCCCCACAATGGGGCTGTCTGCTATCAGCGCAGAACCTGCTTCGGATCCTATGTCTCCCTCTCCTTCTCAAAAATAAATAAACATTAAAAAAAAAAAAAAAGCCAAAAACAGAAAAGCACAAGCATTGGTGAGGATGTGGAGAAATCAGAGCCCTCATGTGTCGCTGGTGGTAACGCATGGAAGACAGTTCAGCAATTCTTACGAAAAAAATACACTTATCGTACGATCCAGAAATCACACTTTGCTATGTACCCAAATGACATGAGAACTTCAGTCGACACAAAAACCTGCATGCGGTAGGGCTCCTGGGTGGCTCAGTCGTTTGCGAGTCCGACTTCAGCTCAGGTTATGATATCTCAGTCTGTGGGTTCGAGCCCTGAGTCGGGCTCTGTGCTGGCAGCTCAGAGCCTGGACTCTGCTTTGGGTTCTGTGTCTCCCTGTCTCTCTGCTCTTCTCCTGCTCAAGCTCTGTATCAAAAATAAATAAACATTAAAAAAGTAAAAGAAAAAAAAATAAAAACAAACAACCCCGCATGCGGATGTTTATAGCAGCTTTATTCATAATGGCCCAAACCTGGAAACAACCAAGATGTCCTTCAGCAGGTAAATGAATAAATCATCTGTGACACATTCAGCCAGTGGAATATCCGTACTAAAAAGAAATGAGCTCTCAAGCCATGCAAAGACCTGCAGGAATCATGAACGCACATTAACAAGTGAAAGCCAGCGGCGTGAAAAAGCAAGTACTCTCCACTTCTCACTGTGTTCTAGGTGGCAAGGACACCACGGGACAAGGCAGAGACCCCACCCCTCCTGGAGCTGCAGTTTCAGGGCAGGCGACAGCAGGAAACAAACCGACAAGATGGCTTTGGATAAGCAGATTCGAGATATGAAAGGGTAATATGAGAAAGAGCAGCCAGTGTGGGCGGAGCCTATTTTTATGACTTTAAAAAAATGTTTTTATAGTTTTTATTTGTTTTTGAGGCAGAGAGAGACAGAGCATGAATGGGGGGGGGTCAGAGAGAGAGGGAGACAGGATCTGAAGCAGGCTCCAGGCTCTGAGCTGTCAGCACAGAACCAGCTGCAGGGCTTGAACCCACGAACCACGAGATCGTGACCTGAGCCAAAGGCTGACGCTTAACCGATTGAGCCACCCAGGCGCCCGGTTTGATGACTTTTTTATATGGAGTTCTAACATATGTGCCATGCGGTTCACAAACATTATGCATCCAGCTCCGTAGATTTTTTTTTAGAGTTGTACATGGCTTTAGGGTTTTTTAAAGTTTATTTTAGTTATTTTTGAGAGAGAGAAAGAGAGCATGGGAGAGGGGCAGAGAGAGAGAGAATCCTTGCTGTCAGAGAGGACTCTGATGCGGGACTCGAACTCACAGAGCTTGAGATCATGACCTGAACTGAACCAAGAGTCCAGCACTCAACTGACAGAGCTACCCAAGCGCCCGCCTCGACCCAGAGATTTATTTCATCTGTACTCATCTGTGTAACCGCCACCTAGAGCAAGATAGATCATATTTGCAGTGTCCATCACACCAATGGGCTGAGCTTAGGTGGGAAGAGGAAAGAGGCTTCTCTGAGGATGGAGGCATTTAAGCGAAGGCCTGGATAACATAAAGGACCTG